TCTCGAGGAGTCCATGCCTCGATGGGTCAGGCCTGTTTTGGTGGCAAAAGGGGGTCTACTCAATATTAGGAGGGTGGTCGTAAAGTTATGGCTGACCAATGAAAAAAATAAAATATATATATATATATTCTCTCATCTATCTAATTATCTCAGTTTGGGCACTCATACTGGGTTTCCACCAAAAGGCAGTAAGGGGCATCCAAAGTGGTACTGGGGACTACCCAACCATAGCTGCACCAAGCCTGCCTTTAGGTTGTTTCTCTGGAGTGTCTTCTTTTTAAGCTGACCATAAACTGGTCATTTTCCATACATTTTTTTGTTGTATTTTTTTGTAGCCTTCAATTCAACACTATAGAACATCAGTGTGTTTAGATAAGTGAAATGCAACAGAAACTTGAATGTCAAAGCCAAAAAGGGTTATATCTACTACAATGCTGCCTTCTAGTGGAAAGGTGGAAATGGTTCAATTCCGATCAATGCTTCAAAACCTACACAATTGCAGAATATTATTTGCCAAGTGATTGCTTATAACATTTGGTCACCAGTGTGTCTCTGGGTGAGCTGTGTAAGTCTTGGGTCTGGCTGGACAGAAATACAAATCCTTTAGCAGGTAAAACATATTTCAAATGTGTAGGTTACTGTTCACCTGGAGTTCATCTTTTAAAGCCTTTTTTTTTTTTTTTTTTAATATTTGGTAGAGTAGGAAGGGTTAGAACCCTATGCAGATCTTTATTACTGTCTTTGTACCCACAGCTGAGATTCACCCGCTCTGTTTGATCTTGTGACCATTTGTCACCGGGAGTGAAATTGAGGAAAAGCTAACATTTTAAGTTGTTGAAAATTTTCAGTTGAGGGGAAATCTTCCAGTGGGAACACTTGCTCCAATGACAACTGTCTAAGAAAGAAATTCCTCTTGCTTCCTGTTGTGAATCAAGATGGGAAGTGAAGGAAAAACTCCCCAATGGGATAACAGATGGCAAAAAAAGTTTGGCTTGTTTTAACCCTTCCTTACTCTACTCTATCCAGAACTCAAATGTTGGGCCGTAGATCTACTTAAGCTTACCTACACCGACCTATAACTGAAATACAAGTAGCCTCCAGTTCAATGGTCACCTTTCCAATGGTGTTTCATAGCAGAAATGAACAATAACATAAGCTAGAAACTGAGTTGATGATTTCAGTTTTATTTCCTTCACGTTATTTCCTTGGCAGTGCCAGTGACAAATAAATATACATATTTATATATACACACATGTATGGAACGCAATGCTTTATAGAGCTCCACTTACAAGGAGACCATTGAGCAGCTCAGTTGAAACGAGAGAACATAGAATTTGTACTCCATGTAAAATCTTTTTCTCAAGAGTCCATTGAGGGACACAACTTGATTGCAGGAAACCTAAGGGTTATAATGCCCCTTAGGTTTCTTACTATGAAGCTATGTCTCTCAATGGATGATGGAGACATTGTATCACAAACCCAGTTTTATCTCCTCTGATGGTTGTTAATGTTAATCTGTCATAAACAAAACAAAAAAGTAAAGAGTTTTTCAGATGAAAGCTGGAAATTCTGACTCCTGAGCTGAGAATTGGTTCTCCATCAGCGATGCCAACCAAAATGAAGCTGAATGAATTTAGCTTTATTGGTCTCAAAGTTAATATGGCTCCAAGGTCCTTGCTTTGTGAGTCACTGACCTAGCACAAGCAGAAGTCTTTGTATGTAAAATTGTCATCTTATACTCCTTTTATCTCTCTGGCTTTAGGAGGAGGTGCTTGCATGGCAGATGTGCTGCTTAGCACTCGCTGGCTGAAATGTGATGTCACTGCAGCTTAAATCGAAGGCGCTGGTTCCCCAAAATGGCCTTATTTCCACCATACAGCCTAGAAATATTGCTACGCAAAATATGAGGGTTTCCAGAGCTGCTTGAGACTGGAGCTGAAGGAAGAGGTAAGAACAGGAGCATCACACTAGCGTGCTTAAGCACAAAAGGGTTTATTACAATAAAAGGTTCAAGCAAGGTGTGTGTTTGGCCAATGCATTTCAGAAGACCAAACTTCCTTCAGTCAGAGCTTTGTGTATAGAAAATCAGGAAGATGGACTCCTGGACAAATATCAGTGAAGATTGTGAGTAAAGAGGAAGGGAGGAAGGTTAGTGTTGACATTTTCTATACATAATGCAAGCCCTGATGAGGGGTGCCAGATTTAGGTAATGAAAATCTCAATACTAATGTTCCTCTTCACTGGCATTTGTCCAGAAGTCAGCCTTGAACCTGTCGTTAAAACTTCAACACTTTGGTGTGGCGCTCCTGTTCTTGCCTCTTACTACAGAAGCTTAAATGACTCCAGTCTCTGTATTATGGCAAATCAGAGTTCATTGTAATAGGCAGTGAGGGAGTGGACGTTCACAGTGGATGTGCTGCCATTTAAATGGCCGGGCAGGTAAGTTTTAAAGTAGGCAGGGCTACTTGTCCAGCAAGTGCTTTTAGGCAAATGTCTAATACTGCTTGTTTTCTGTATTTATATCACATAACAATATCCAGAGCAAAACAAATATAGAGTTCATGGGTAAAATGTTCTCCAATGATATGGCAAATATCCCTACACCTGTAAGATCAGACCTATGAAAAACATGACCCATAAATATGGCAGTGACATCAGGGTTACATTGCACTTCCTGTGGCAGTTAAAGTGTACCTGTCCTCTAAGTAGCAGAAACAAAAAGGTTTTGCAGGCTAATTTCTTTGAAAAAATACATCTTCTCAATCTGATCTGACAGGTTTCCGTAGAACTGCAGCTTGAAATAAAGTGAGGATTGAAGTCTGACTGTAGTGCATAGTTCTTGTTGAAGTTACAAGGCAGTCTATGAAAATAAATTAGCACAGCAATTCCAGAACCATGTGGTCAGCGTCTATGGTCTGCGCTGGCGGGAGTGTCCGGCCCTGGGGCTGTCCGGACTTAGGTCCCTTACTATCTTACTCAGGCCAGAGATTTTCTCCTCCAGAAAGTAGTTCTTTTTCTCTGCCGTTTGCTGCCTTTGCTTGCTCAGCTCCAGAGCTTTGAGCAGCTGGGAATTTTCAACAAACAGATCTTTAATCTTGCTTTCTGCCGTGGAGTTCCTGGTGACCTAGAAAACAGAAGGGTACAGTGTTCATGTGAACAGTTGTGTATTAAAGTAGATCTAAACCCAAGCCCCCATTCACACTTGAGCATTATTAGGCGATTTTAAGCGCTCTTCAGGCTTGAGAGTTTTTGTTTGAAAGCTGGAAACTAGGAGGAGGGGACGTTGTTAGATGCGAGAGATGGACATTATGCTCCCATTGAAGTTTAAGGCCAAAAACAAATTTTTCCCCCCAAAAGAGTTAAGCGCCATGTAACTAACATGTGGCAGCCTTTACATGATTTATGACCACATGCACATGTTTTAAGCAGATCTGAACCCACAGGTTCCCCCGGGGCTCTTGCCACAATGTATAAATATGCACATACATAGTTGGAAATTATGGCACACTTGTCTCCCAAAGTGTGTTCCTCCAGCGTTGCAATGTCCGTAATCTCCATCGCTACTCCACCAATGACCTCTTTGCCCGGACCTCCGGGTCCAGAGTCTTCAGCTATCTTGATTGGCCAGCCTGGGATGACATAACGTCTGCCCATGGTAATAACACACAGTTTGTAATGTGGAACCTGCGTTGTCCCATGAAGCTCTATTTTAATGTTGCAGAGAGAACTGTTTGGGGAAAAAAGGCCTGGCCATGACTGGGTTCACCTCCTTAACAAAAGAGCAATGCTCTTTTGTTAAGGACATAACTGTACTTTGGAAAGAAAAAAAAATTCTGTACTTTTCTAAAGAGTTTGGCATGGCTGCCAATACCCCTTTCGCTGCCAAGCCCTCGAACATTTTTCAAATCAGCTGGCCAAGCCATTTTTGAATTTTCTGCAATTTTTTCCTATTGATTTGATTTTCAACTGCTGCGTTACTAGCGTTTGTAAAAGACCCCCCAAACCATATATTTTCTGAAAGCGCAGGCCCGGTAGAATAAAAAGATGGTGATACTAAATTTGTAGGCCGTGCGATAATTGCGCAAATGTTTCTCAAATTAATATTAAACCGATAAAAATACACAATTCAATTGATAAAACACACTAAAATTAGTATAAGCGCACAAAAAAATAATAATTTTCAGACAATCTAAAAGATAAAACTGTATTGAGTTAATAAATAACAAATATTTGCAAATTTGAAATTGCGCCTTTTTGCGAAAAGGTAAAAAAATTACGGTACGCAAAACTGTAAATAAGCAACTTATGTTAAAAAAATATGCCGTACGTCCTTAGCAGCGAAAGGGTTGGCTGTAAGACCATGCTGCTGTTTTATGAATGTACCCCTCAGCTTCCTGAAAGACATCTGCTCAGCATTACATTGGATGGCCTTAGGTCAATGATGGCGGCTTAACAACTGCCACTTTAGCACCAAAATGCTATAGAACCAAAGTCAATCATATAGACGGCTAATGCAGATTATTATAACAAACCGTTTGGAAAGATTGAAGTGTGGATGCTCCATTGAGCAGATGTTAAGTTTGATTGTATTCCAAAGACATTATGCAATGCCTTGAGTTGTGCTGTTACAGTTGCAAACAGACCTAATCAGACCAGACCAGGTCTTTTTAGTGATCAAGAGCCCAGAGCTGACGGTCTATATAATTATGGTGATGGTCATTCTCTTCATGCTGGCAATTTATGTTTTACAAGACTTATTAGGTGACACTTTACGCATCCTTAGTAATCTATTTACATTCAGAGCAAGTGTAGAAGTTGAGTTGATGTTGCATCCTTATTCATGTAGTTTCATATCTGCAAATGGCAAGGATGGGCTCGATTTTGTTGCAACGTTAGGGTTTCTATTTTTCTGGCAGACTGTGAAATTACCTGTTCCTTTAGCTGATTCACTTTTTCCTGAAGAAGCATCTTTACAATTCTGAGTTTCTGCTCTACATCGATCATACGAGCTTCCATTTTCCTCAGCAGCCTCTCCTCCTGGTCATCCTGTATAAGAGACATGTGTTATTATGCAATGTGGACTGCACTGAAAGGGCCAGCCCATCCACAGCTTATATTAAAGTTTGTGATGTGTGCAGGTTAGTCCAATTGCCTGCTGGCTTTTTCTTACCTGTCTATGTGGTGAATGTTCCCTGTTCCTGCTGCATGTTCTGTAATAGTGATTAACATAGGATGGGATGTGGCCTCCCCTCATATGAGACACAGGCCAGATGTTTGCATATACATCCACTTCTGTGCCATGGGGTGCCGCTCCCTACATTATGTACAAGACTCCTAGTCATGTAATCATGTCCACAGAGGCAATACTGTATTTTTTTTATTTCCCCCTTGACCATTTAATGGTGTGCCTCATTTTCTGCCTTGGGCGATTTCATTTAAAATTCCCTATTGGCCAGTGAGACTGCCCATCACAATAAAGTGATATTAAAGTCAAAAGGTTTTACGTCAATTCAAATGCTGATTAAATCACTTACAATGGATGCTGCTCCTTGATGTTTAAAAGTTTGTTTCCTGCAGAATCAGTTGGGCCCTGACTTCCTATTTTAGGATGGCTCTTTTCCCTTTGCAGGGTCCTATGGAACCCCAATGTAAGTCCTAGCGTCGAGCGTTGGCATGCTTCTGTTAGAGCTTCAAATTGCTGAGGTTTGAATGGGGCCTAAAAGAGCAGTAGGGAGGTTCAAAAGGCACAGGGACATGATTGGCTTTTATAGAATATGTTGCGTTTTGCAAAGCACTTGGAGCTCACATACACAGGCATTGGTTTCATGCATTTGAATAGCTCATAAAGCACAGGTCAGCAGATTCCCATTCACTTTGGATGAGGCTGCATTTGACCTGCTTTGTTTCTTTTGGATGCAACAAGGCTTATGGAGATGTGCTTGCATTGCAGGGAAAGCAGGTGAAACGTAGCAGTTTGCAGTACAGTACTGTGTTCAAATACAAAGGCTTTGTTTGATATTGCCTATATCCAGATGTACGAACAATTTTAAAATGTGCATGAAACTGAACCTCTACTTATGTATTCTTCATTATATGCTCAGTTTGGATTGCTTAGGGTTTACTTTAATATACATCCTATTTAGGTATTATCTTTTTATACTTATTGATATGTTATGTATTGCTGTGGAATTTATTATCAGTAGCACCTGAATGATTCTGTTCATCCTGAGTCTGTTAGAAACAATCATATTAACAAGGCTAATGTGCATACATTCCACTCTAGTCCCTTCTTAAGGCAGCCAAATGCATGCTCTGGACTGCTGTTATCTTGACCAGTGGCGTCACAAGGGGGGCGCAGCCCGCACCCGGGTGACACCAAAATGACTGTCATTTTTGGTTTGATAGATTAGAGGAGAGTTAAAAAAGGAGAACTATGGGGTAAGTGTTTTCCCCATAGTTCTCCTAAGGGTCACGGGAGGACACAAACTAGCATCCTCTCGTGACCCAAAGCTCAGTATACTGCTAGCTACAGCTCACGGTATACTGAGACCGCTGCAGCCGGGACGGATCCCGACATTACTGTCACGATCCACCCAGCTGTGTGAGTGACAGCTGGCTCTGCCTATCTAGAGACAGAGCCAGCTGTACCCGCCCCCATCCGTTCCGCCAGTCAGCGCTGGAGGATCGGGGAAATCCCTGCAGAGACCCGTGACCGACAGTCACGGCTCTCTGCAGGGACAGGATCGAGAAGTGAGCGAGCAAAGGTATGTATTCGCTCACTTCCCGATCTATTGAGCTGATGTGACAGTTTCATTATCACACGTCAGCTCAAACTAAGAGGCTGAGTCAAAATCACTCCTCATAGTTCTCCTTTTAAAGCAGAACTATGGAGTTGAGTGCTCATTTTGTCTAGGGAGCTAAAAAAAAAAAAGTTATACATACCCAAAGCATGATCCTGGCTTGCTCTTAGAATGCTCCCCCTTCGTGCCAAATCAGCATGTTCTATACAGTATACAGGCTGCGGGTGAGCAGTGTAGGAGCCACCCTGGATTGCCATTCAGGTGAGTTTAACTTTATCTTAGCTCCTTAGACAAAACTAGCGGGGTAGCCCCACTGCAAAGGTTAAGATTTAATTCGCCCGGAGTTCTGCTTTAAAGTCTGTCCAGTTTTTGGCTGCGACTGCATTCTTCCTTCTGAGACCCAGAAAAGCGGAGAGCGGTTGTCACAGTGAAAATATTGTCAGTCTTTCCCCCTTTCTGTGATTTTTGTTTAGGCCCCATTGGAGTGTAAGTAAATGAGGGAAAACCTACTGAACAGGGACAAAAAATAAAAAATGCACACATTAAACATATACTGGCATATTTATATAGGCAGTTAGAGAAACTCATGATAGCCAATCAAATTTCGGTTCATTACGCTCAGATCAGTTAAGAGACAATTTTCAGATTGGTTGCTTTGCTTTTTTTGCATTCATGAATCAATCCGCTGATTTAACAAACACACCAGAAAATAGTTAAAAAGAATTTTTTATTTTCCAATAGCATCAAAACATTTTTCCTTTTTTTTTTTTCTTTCCCCAAAAACCCCCCCAATATGTTACAAACTTAGACAAAATCCCATAAAAATAGGCCCATTAATCTCCATGTGCCTGGTATAAAAATGTCTTTCAAATGGAAAAAGGTTACAATATTACAAAAAGAAAACAAAAATATACTTCAGGTAGAAGGGAATATCTAATAAATAGTATAAATACATAAAATTAGAAACAAAAACCAGATTCTTTTAAATAAAAGGTATTTTACACAAAGTATTTCTACATCAGTAATTACAATGTACGTAAAGTGTCCATGTCACCTACATATAGTGGGGGGTGGCCATTTTGTGAGCTAAAGTTGTAGTTAGTTATTATGTTACCTATACAGCTCACCAAGACCTTGAAAGATAATTGCAGCAAATATAAGAAGTTGAACCCATTAAAAGGTAACCTTTAAAGTGCAGCATTTATAGTGGGGTTGAAAATATGCTACAAAAGGAAAGGTAGGCACTGCCCTTGCATTGTCACTTGGTTATGAAGGTTTTAGTGCAGCCTTTCTCAACCAGGGTTCCTCCAGGAGGTTTCTAGGAATTCCTTGAGCAATGGTGGATTTATTGCCTGCCTCATGGTGCCTACATAGTCCTGGACCTAAATCATTCAGCGGAGTGGGATCAATAGAACCTTTCCTTGTCTTTCTGGTAAGCAACCATTGACACCAATTATGTTTTTAGCTGCCGGTATCTGTAAGGGAGGTCTTCTCCTTGTGACCAGCAAAGCAAGTAGTAGTTGTTCTCCCATTGACCACTAAAGTAAGGCGACTACTTTGAACGCAAGCTAAAAATTAATTTTGGTCTTTTTGTTTTACTCCATGTTTAATCACAACATTTCTAATACGGACTGCCAAGTATATCATTATATTTACAACTATCTGATCACACTAATGTACAGTGAGATATAGATATATATGCAATAGTAAGCAGTGGTTCCCTGAGACCTGAATGTTTTTTTAAAGGTTCCATCTATGGTAAAAATGGTTGAGAAAGGCTTGTCTCGTGTATAGAAGATGAAGTGTGATTTGTAAGCCTCACTCATTCCTACTATTAAAAAGGTAAGGGGCTATTGCTCTGCAAAGAGCAGAATGTTAACAGGAACGGAGAGAACTGAATAACCCAATTACTGCTCCTACGTGGTTCAGTTGGAGGCCAGGCCAGTTTTTAGTGAGGATGCTGTACTTAACTGCAGGCACACCTATCAGAGGCCACCGTACCCTCCTAATGATGTGGTCATAAGTCTTTCACAGATTACAGTAGAAGCATTGCACCAGAAAAAGGGGCAACAACAAGAGTGGTCAGTAGTAGCAATGTAAGTTGCGAGATGAGTTAAGGTTATACATAACCAAATATGTTGGCCCAGTGTGAGGATCATGCTATGTAACACTTACCTAAGGGGTTAGAAGGAGCCCTTTTAGCCGTTAACTGTGCTAATTATTGCAGACAGGAATAGCGAGAGGAGACATCCAGGAGACATCCTAAATACCATGAAGTACCCATAAATTTCACTAGCACTTTCTATGAGGTTTGTTACAAAAAAAAAGAAAAATAATCTCCCATAATTTTCCCCAGTGCCTCCATCTAGAGGCACTAGCCTGTAATGGTAACATGCAACAGAGAAGACGTTTAAAGTGAACTCTAGTCAAGGATATACATTTTGCATTCAACTTTGAGTTGCTTTAATTACCACCCTAGAAGTTTAAACTGTGCAGGAAGCTGCTCCTAGCCGAGAACCTGTGACCGTCAGCGTTCTTCCCCTTTAGACTGCCCCTGCAAATGCAGACCGGAAGTCCTGCATCTCTGCAGACCTCCAATGATGAGGATGCACAGAATGATGTGACTTAGGCTTGCAGTCTAGAAGCACAAATGAAGAGGCAACTGATTTGGAGGACCCAATTTTTTTTATGCACATGAAAAACACTGGCTAAATGTTAAACAAAAACTAGTTCTTAAATAGAATTATGCATACAGTTTATTTTTTTCATGAGAAATACAATGCTCATTAAATAAATCAGTTTGTGAAATAAATAATTCTGCAGCCTCTAATTATGTAAAATATCTGCACTGAGCCTTCTAGTTGGAGACCATGTGATATTTGCCTAGGCTTTAAGTCACATGATTGAGAGCAGCATTTCCTACTCCTGGCAAGAAAGTTTTTTTTTTTTTTTTAACATGTTATTTGGTAATAGTGACGTACTCATTTCATACCTATGATGATTTCAATCACAGATTTACTTTAAAAATGGAATGGCGTAAAAAGTTTTGTTCTAGCATATCAGCAATATTTCATGACAAACCCAATTGATTTGAAAGCTTGATATTAATAAAACTCCAAGATGCAAGTAAAGTTAACAAAAACAAAACGCAGTGCTTACGTTTCCTGTCCTCCAACTCTACGCTGCAGTTTAAGCCCTTATGACAATTTTAGCTCTTCATATTTTTATGAACCGGCTCATAAAATGGCCAACCCCCATGCGATTAGAAAAAAAAAACTTTAATACTGCAAAGGTTACAGAGAAGATAAAGCCAAGCCAGCTGGGCTTCCAGCTCTCAACAAGGTTTCTCAGCTTATGCCAGTAGTGTGTTAGGTAGGTTAGCGTTAGGTGCTTGTTAGAAGCCACTTTTGTTTTTTTCAGAGGCGGCCAATCCGTCTGTAAGAGTCAGCGTGCAATGCTCGTTGCTCCGGAAGCAAGGCCTGAAGGAAGAAATGCAATTGGTACTTTTCACCCTGGTTTGACACAGTCACAACAAATACGGCACACTTCCAGCAGCAGGGGATGAGCTCTACTGTACATGCAGGATGGGCAGCTATCCTCTGGTGGTAGAAGTGTGCCAGGCATGCAAAGCCAAGTTAAAGTATGTAAACCCAAAATCTGTTTTTTGGTATGTTTGGCACCATGCCTCGCTGTATACAGTTTTATTAGACATTTTTTTTTATGAATCTATTGCACAGTTTCTATACTGGGATCTCCTGCCAGTAACAAATACTTTCTATTTGAGCCTGAGAATGCTTAGCTGCCTTGTGATGAGCAAGAGTGTTGTCTGCTGATCCTGAGCATGTGGCCATGGTGCTGCCCATCTAGTGTGTGTACGTGACCTGCAGACCTGATTAGCAGCCAAACAGCCAACTGAGAGATTAAATATGGCACGTTGACAATGTTATTGCCAATTACAAAGCAGAGACTTAGTATAGCCAACCTGAAAAAAGAACTTATACTTGCAGGATCCCTTGTGACAAAATTAGCTTAAAACTGTATACAGTGAGGTATAATACCATACATACTGAAAAATAGACTTGGGCTTTACATACCCTTTAACAAGTATCTACCTTAGGCTTCATGTAGATGGGCATCAAAAAAAACTTCGTTTTAATGGGAGCTTAACAGGTCAGAAAAACCAAGAGCTGACACTTCCAACTTGTTTTTAGAGGAACAATCTGCGGGCCGGTTACGCTCATCCTTGCCTACTTAGTAAGATTTTGACTCTGAACAAGTATGCAGCCAGTTAAGGTGCAGTTTATGACCTGCAAACCTGCCCAGGCTGAAGGATTTGCTAAGTAGAGAAGCAAAGATGATAGAGACTAGTCATAAGAAATGAGTCGGAACTGCCAAGTTCCATATTTAATGACAAGTTATGCTACTACAAGAGAACCTCTATTCACCATGATGGGTATGATCGATTGCCATACATCGAATGGGACAAAAAGCACACAGCTGTGTTCCTGTACCTATTACAGTGTACCCCATTGTTATTGCCCATGTATGCATCACAAACTATCTCATACACATGAATAGAGGTAACCTGCACTCGTCAACACATCAAATCAAGGTTGGTTATGCAGCACTGTTTGGATTTAATGCCCAAAAATATGAAGTCTAGTCAACTTCCAAATAATGAACAAAATTATAGGAATCACAGGAAGTCTTAAACCATTTAGCACCAGAATGTTGTAACATATATACAGTATATTGTAATTAAAAAAAGGGTCACTGAAAAGATGATTGGTTGTTTTTGTAAAACGTTCTTTTTGGTATATGTTCAGCAGATTACCAGGACTGAAGATATTTGAGGGAGAAAAATGTCTGCACAAAGCTGACAACCTGCTCAATGATTCCATTAAAGTAAATGGCTTGCTAGCACTTGCAGGCATCATTTAGCCTAAAATGTCTGCTAACAGGGAAACCGTTTGCACAGAATATTCAAAATCAAATATCTAATTTTCTGTGCAGACCTGGTAATCTTTGAAGTATTTAACTTCTATATTTGGAACTCATTTTTATATTTTGGTATACATTCCCTGATCATTAAAATCATAAAATGTACACACCAGGAAGCAATATCACTAAGTAGCCTTAAGAAAATTTGGAAGTTGACCAATAGAGAATTAAATTAAAAGAAAATAAACAAACAAACATTTATACAATAGTAGAGACTAAAACATGCAACATGACATCTACACAAAAAAGCAACATCATAGCAAGTCAATAGGTGTTAGCATTAGCAAGAGGTTAATGAGCATGGATGGCAAGGGTCATTCTATTATGGGACCATGCAGAGTAAAAAGAACCTCTATGGTATTGGGTATGGTGTCTTAAGGTGACTGATTTGGGCTTTAAAAGAAGCCTGTAAGGACAGAAATATGTTAGCAAACTCCAAATACACTTTGTTCCAGGTCAGTGGCTTACCAATCAGACAATTAAAGATAAACTTGGAGGATGCAACTTGAAAACACATCAAGAATGGTAGTTACCATATTCCAGTCCTGACCAGTTTAGCTTTGTTTACTTTGACTCCACAGCACAATCAGGTCCAGGAGTAGAGTGTGGCACTACTGCTTGGAATTTTGTAAGAGCTCCATGCTGGTCAACACATTACATGAACGGTCTGCTATATGACCATCATATCCAAATGTTGATGCCCTAAATTGGAATCTAAACTGGTAAAAAGCCATCATCCTGAAAATACAGATATCTACAGTTGCCTACACTTACTATTGGCAATTTTCTAACATGGGCTTAGAACCCCAAAACTTGAGCCACTTGGGTAGGCCGTATGTTGTTGTTTTTGCCCCTACTATATAGGTCAGTAACATTGCCCATTATTTTGTAGGACTAACAGTATAGTGCTGGAATTTGAAGGGGGTAGGCCAAAACACATTCAATTTGATTTTTGCATAATATAGTGCCGCCAGGCTCATTGGGCCACATTAGATTACCATTGGACCCCTGGAGGCTTGTATTTCTCATGCTGATAGATGGTCACTAACTTCAATTCTTATGCAGACTTGCTTTAGGGCTATCTTGCTAGTTGGCCCAGCCGGCTCTAAAAATACCTGAACACTGCCTGCATCCAATCAGATTGTTCAGGTATTTGGACAGCCAGCGGGGCCAACTAGCAAAAAACTGAAGCTTGGCCCAGCGGCAGATTCCTCCATCCACACAGTTTAGCGTAGATGGAGGAATCTGTTGCACTTTTTCCATCTGACCATAGAAAATCTGCAGATAATCTATAGGTGTATGGCCAGTTTAATGCAGTGCAGTTCTTTGTCAGCTCAAGTCACAAGATCCAATAATTTAAAGGAATAGAAAAACCCAGCCCTCGCTCTATAAAAAAAAAAAAAGTGGGCTCACAGAAGTTATATTGTATTGGAACTGTTCAGGAGAGATACTGTTTCTTTTTTATTTTGGCAGGTTGGCAGTCCCACTGGCAGAGAAAGAAAAGCCAGAGGAGCTGTCATTTTAGCACTTCTGCTAGTGAACTTTGAAGATGAAGGTCTCCACAATGCCTGCAGCTAAAGAGGTTAGTTTACTGTCCATAGTCTGGTTACAGGTGCAGTTTTAATGTCATTCCTCTACTAATAACAAAAATTAAAGCTGGCTATTGCTCATAAAAAGTGCATCAAAAACCATCAAAGAACAAAAATCAAACAAACACAATTGCTTTTGAGACTTAAAAGCGAGTTGGCCTGCATTCCATGGCATGCATTGTACAATGGCACTTACAGAATATTGAGTAAAATTCACCAATGTAGTTGCCTAATGACTGCATGCTATGATGAATGGATCAATCTCTAAGAAACTGGCATAACCAGAGAAAAAATTCACTAATAGGGTGTAGTCAGTGTGTGTAAAATAATAAAGTGCGAGAGGACGGGAAGCACACTAACCTGTGGAGGGTTGATGTCGGCGCTGCGGTTATCCAGAGCCGCCCGCAGCTGCTGGTTACTCCGCTCTGCCTGCTGAAGTTGTTGCTGGATCTGCAAGTAATGGTCTCGTGGCACGGTGGCACAAGCTTGCTGCTGGAGCTGGGAGTGGCTATGGCTCAGGCTGGTCGGTGAGTGCAGCATCTGCAGTACATACAGAACACATTACAGATCTGTATTACCCTCCACCCCTAGGCTTATTCAGAATGGCAGTGCAAAGAGCAGCATCCATATGTGCTATAACTAAAACCCAACCTGGTAGATTTTTTCCGATTTGGTTGTTAATGATTAATGCACTTTGCACTACTCTACTGAATATACCTGCATGTCTTTTTTCACCATTCAGGCCCATCATCCTTTTACATCTCTCAGGGCAGAGTGAAAAAAATGGGATCAATGAAAAGAACCCACTAACTAATTTTTCCCATAGCAAACAATCTATTTTATAATCTGCAACAATGACAACTGAAGTTTGCCATAAGCAAGACCATTCTTTCCTTAAAAGGATAATTCCATACCAAGGTACTATTTTATTTTGAGTGGAAGTAGGTTGCTTAAAAGGGACACTAAACTCAGGAGTTAAATCTTAAAAATGCATTCAAGTTCCCCTAACTATTAACAATGATGTATCTTATTTGTGTATCACTCGGCTGTAGATCCTCCAATCATCTCTGAATTGGTGCTGACACTGTCCTTCCTTCTGGAGGGTGACAACTTTTCTTCCCCATGGTCGCTGTGTGTGTTGTACTGTATTCACCGCTCCAAGCTCGCTCCTGTTATGTACTACAATCTCAATACAAATTAGTAAACTAAACATGACATTGTAGTCCATCACAGGAGTGAGCTTGGAGCGGTGGCTACTTTAAAAACACACACAGGGGTCATGGGGAACAAAAGTAGCCACCCTCCAGAAGTAAGGTGTCAGCACTAGGGATGCACCGATACCATTCATTCCAGACCGAGTACAAGTACCGATACTTTGCCTCAAGATTGATTTGAGGATCTGCAGCCAAGTGATACACAAATAAGATACATTTTTGTTAATAGGGTACCGGATTGCATTTTTAAGATTTAACTCCTGAGTTTAGGGTCACTTAAAAAAAAGCCAGTCACCTAGAAGTCTCCATCTGAGTTCCCAGCTCCACCCACCTGCCATGACTTTTATAGGGCTTCCCGGATTTGCTGCATTGTATTTTACAAAGCAGAAAAATTGTAAAAAACTCAGTTTATAGTCAACATGGGAGCGGCTACTAACTTTATGCAAACATTCCCCAAAACACAACTAACCAGGTTTGTAAAGAAAATGCATAATATTTAATTAAAAACGGATCTTAATTTGCATAAATGTACAAATGCCACAGCCCAAACGTCAATAACTTCAGCGCCTGTACGCGGTTACTGTTCCCTTACATTGTGCACCTTTACTGTTCATAACCCAATCAACTTGTTTGTTGCAGTGGGTGCTGACCCATACAAGGTTTTCAGGCACCCTGAATCTTTAGAGCTCATTACATTATTTGCAGTGAGTTATGTCCAGTGCTAATGTGCATTGCATTAAGGCAGCCCAATTAAATGAATGCCCACTAAACACGCTAAAAATCGTACCCGACACGTTACCTAATGTAATGCACTAATATGCGTTGTAGTGCACTACAATGCAGGTGCACTGTCTTGGTTGCATTGGGGTACAATTTGAAATGAATGGCACTGCAACACAGTAAAGCATGTTGTGTGCGTCACCACAATGTGAAGTTTAAATGGGCCCTTAAAGTGCATCTATAGCACAAAAAAAAAACATTTTCAGTTTTGGACAGTGTGTGTGGCTTTTATTGCCGTCCGTGTTGCCGCTAGGGAGATTCACCCTATTTGTCCTGGTGGTCATTGTCACTTGGACAGAAAGTGAAGGGGAATCAAAATGATACAATTGTCTCCAGAATGGGAATAGAGGGGAAATTTTCCTAAAAGCCCAGTTCCAGTGACAACTAAGTTTCCTCTTATTCCTTTTTGTATCTTCTGAAGTGAAGGGAAATATCCCTAATGGTACACAGACAGCAAAAAAAAACCAAAAGTGATGGTCTGGATTTCTTTTGGTCTTGTGAGTTTGGGTGCTAATAAGTTCTGTGTTTTAAGTGCTTACTTATAAAGCTAGATGAGCCTTACGAGTCAGTACTTGGCATACACAACTCATTAATGATGCTTCTTGATGTCTGTTATGACCCTGCTTGTTAATGAAACCCATCAATTATTGCAGCTGATCACCATGGATCTGTTTGTATTATGTTGAAGTGTTACAGCCGAGTGCTGGATAACTTTTACATAATAGAATCATCGAGGGAAGTAAAATACCCAAATATGCCTTTATAACGATCATGGTGGGGATGGAGCCAGGAATGCTGGTGGAGTCCACAAAAGAGAATAAAACAGTGTCAGCCAGCGAGCATATACAAAAGCTGAAATCTCAGTTCTCACTAGTCTTTGCTTTTAAAGGCCAACCCTGTCCTAAATGGATACCTCAGATTTGTGTGGTTTCTTTTAGATCTCAGGGGAACCAATTGGTGAGACATCCGCCGGGGATTACCAATTCCCAAAGCCAAATGATGGTGTCATGGGAATCCAGCTGCCCTTTGTTGTGTTAAGCAGCAGAGAAAAGCTTTATTACAAAATCTCACCACTGGACCAAGAGAAATAAGAAGCAACACTAAAATATTAGTTTTGGATAGAATTGGCCTGTAATTTCAACCTTTACATATTTTGCTTTGAGCAGAATTCTCAAATTAATCTCGGTACTCAGACAGAGAAAATGTTTGATGAACAATCGTGCAGCAATGGTTTTACTACACATCAGACAATACGCACTGCACGTCAAAAACCATGCAACACACTCAAACACAAGATGCTGCTGTCAGCTGATGCCTAGCTACCGAATGGTTCGAATTTTTAAAATGGTTATTTAAAAAAAAATTAAAAAAAAATACAATATACAAAAAAAGTTTTACTTGAGTGGCATAAATTGAATCACTAAGTATTTATTGGCATCTGGGGAGGTTGTATTTTTTGAATGGTTATAAATATATTTTTACAATTTGTTATTTAGTTTATAGTTTTAAGACCACTGGATAGATTCCAACTTTAAAAAATATTCTAATAAATAGATAATGTAATTTAAAACACTAATTAGGTTGAGTTTTAAATGCCATCTTTTTTACGACTTTGGAAACGGTTTCCTTCATTTAGTTTGTCATATTAGAACAGATTTTTGTTTTTTTAATATTCTTATAACCTTTAACTTTTTCTTTTTCTGCATGTGCATTGACAAATCTTAAAGTGACACTAAACTCAGTTAAATCCTAAAAATGCATTCAATTACCTTACCTACATAGTTACATTAACAAAAAAAAGTGCATCACTCAGCCAATAACATTAAGGCCTCATTCACACACAACGCAAAGCAAAATTGTATATTGCGTCTATACGAGCGTATGTGCGTATATGCGTGCACTATTTGCATTCCCAGAATGCATCATTCCTAATGGAAATCTTAACTGTATGCGCGTATACATGTGCAAACATGCGTATGCGCGTGAAATGCGCTGCCCGGACGCATCTCGGTTCCATTCTGTTTTTGCGCATTAATACGCTACGCAAATAAGCGGCTATGTGTATGGAGCCATTTATTTGCATATGGTACAATACGCACGTATATACGCGGCAGTGTGAATGAGGCCTAAAGTGACACTAAACTCAGGAGTTAAATCCTAAAAATACATTCAGGTACCTTCACTATTAACAATTTTGTAGCTTATGTATCACTCGGCTGTAGATCCTCAAATTATCTTGGTGCTGACACTGTCCTTCCTTCTGGAGGGGGGCTACTTTTGTTCCCCATGGTCCCTGTGTGTGTTGTAAAGTAGTCACCGATCCAAGCTCACTCCTGTGATGGACTACAATCTCAGATTTAGTTTACTAATTTGTATTGAGATTGTAGTCCATCACAGGAGTGAGCTTGGAGAGGTGACTAACGGCCTCCTATTTATTTTGAAAGCCCTAAAGAAGGTGGGAGAACTTTGTACCCCCAAAACCCTTTGGCTATTTTGTATGGTTGTGAGCAAACAAAAAGATTTTGGAAACTCATTTCTTTGGTCTGGCTCTCATTTGATGTTTTACACACAGGTGCTAAAATGTAGTTTTAGTGGATAATTTTAAAGTCCGATTTCATCCACTTTTTAAGGTTTGGATAGAAATTTGATTAAAACCTCTTCTAGGACTTTACTGGCATCTCAGAAAGTTTTCTTCTCATTCCTGGTGCAGTGTCGAGGACAGGAAGTAAAAACCTCTCAAGAGGCAAAAATCACATTTTTAAATCAGACTATTGAAAAGGTCAGAACCATTGCGAGATTTTTTTAATTGCAGTTTGTGTCCTCATTTATGGGGCGTTCCTTCACTTTTGGTCTTGGCAACACCGAGGTCATCGAGACTGATACCCTGGGTTTGACACTGGGACAGGAAGTGAAGGGAATCTCTACAATTCAGACCCAAAACTAATAAAAAAAAATAAAAAAACCCCACCAAAGGTTCTAAACCCTCCTCCTCTCTAACCACAACTAGAAAGGTTTTGCCTGAAGTAAGAAATGAATGCAAAGGAAATAATGAAAACCCAAGCCCCTTCCACTTTAAGGGAATCGGTCATGGCAGCATAATGGGGGCTGCCATTGCTGACCTCTCCTTTTTAGAATACTAGTTTCTTGCTGTCCTGCTGATACTTTGGCTTCAAGGTTGACAGTCACTGTCCCCAGAAAAAGTGAAGATAAACTGACATCCTATTTAATGATGCTTGTTGCTGGTCTAAGGCCTTGTTCACACCAAGCGCGTTCCAGGAGCAGAGCAGTTACAGACCGGAGCAAAACTGCATCCAATGTATTACAATTATATTTTTAGCTCCAGTTCACATTGCAGCGTTCAGGTCCAGAGCAGGTAAAAAAACTGCAGCAGGCCCTATTTTACCTTCTCTGGAACGCATGCAAACGCCCTGGAAAGCACTGAAAGGCCATTTTAAACTAAAAATTATATATATATAACGCATCACAAAATGCGGCACAACTCACAGCAGTGCATGTGCAGAAACTCATGCAGATCTGGTCTGCATTTGGTGTGAACAAGGCCTTAGACTCAACATTTGTGGTCAGACAGTCAAGCATTTGGCAATTTTGTTTCATTAATAGTCAGCACCTGCAGTCCCCTACTTCTCTCAGCAGAAGTCATTGTGTTAATCTGGAATAAGTCCCCCATAGTATTCCCTGAAATTGGTAACAGGTTTCATCTCCTCACATAAACTGAGAGAGAGCAAAAAAAATCTTGTGGTTTTTGATTAACACCAAGACATGATCTATGGAGATGCTGAGCCTTGATAAGAGGAATGGAATATGGAGAGGATGATCAGCTTGGAGGACACATGGCCATGCAGTGTTAAAGGAAGAGCAAACTTTACCATATATCTCAGAATCAGAACTGCACCCATCTCTGAGATTTCCTGAGGTCTATACACAGGGAAGGCACAAAACAAGGAAACAAATACAATATTTCATAAACAACAAAAACCAAAATTATCTGAAATCAGGAAACTGCAATACAACATTCTCTGCAGACGTCATACGACAACTCCCCAAGAAGTGTACAGTTATTGCTACTGTATACAAAGGCAATTGTGCACTTCCAACCTAGTAACACTTTGATGAAGGTAATTTTCTGTTCTAGCATGACTGTGCCCCTGTGCACAAAGCCAGCTCCATACAGACATGGCATGAGGAGTTTAATGTTAAGGAACTAAAGTGGCCTACACAGATCCTTGACATTATCCCTACTGAACACCTTGGATTAAATTAGAATGCCAATTGTGAGCCAGGTCTTCTTATCCAGCATCACTACCTGACCTCACATATGCTATTTTGGCTCAATGGGCACAAATTCCCACAGATGCGTTCCAAAATCTGTTGGAATGACTTCCCATGATGGTGGAGGCCATTCTAGCTTCAAAGGCTGGTGTTCCTTGTTAAAGTAGACCACCACCAAGAGCTTTTTTTATTTGGTTTTGGGAAGAAGTCCACGGCCTTTCTTCTTGGTGCTCCCCATTCATTCCTATGGGTAAGCCATACTACAGCCTTAAGAATAAATGGAGCCGTAATGTGCGTGTGCACAAAGAGAAGTAGCCAGTAAAAACATTTTTGGAAGCAAGACAGAAGTGTTAGGCAGGGCTGCTCAGGGGCGATAGAGGAAGGTAAGTATTTAACAGCCGCCCGCCGTCTGTACGCGCCATCACGCCGTCCACTCTCCAGGCCGACGGTAGTATCACCCGGGGTGCCGCTCTCTGCGAATCTGCCGCTCCAGGCAAACGCCTTGTTTGCCTCGCGGCAGATACGCCCCTGGCTGGGCCTCACCTCAGTGGAAATGTTTTGTTAAAGGACATGTTTACTAAAAGTAAACTTGTGCTTCAAAGGGACTGCTAGCACTCCCATTGAGATCTAGGTTTAATCTTTGCAAACTGGAGCTGAATGGTTCTTTAAAAAGGCATCAACAAAAGCTGCTTGAAGGCTTTGTAAAACTTGCAATGCACAATGATCTCATAAAGCTGCAGCCCGTATGTACAGTACAAGGCCTTAGAGGTGAGGTCGTGTTTTCCTCCACCTTCCACAAGTGATTTAAATCACTGCCTCACAAATTGCCATGACTGATTCATCTAAAAGGAAATCCTCAAACATGACCCTTTGAGGTTACATGAAGATGAGACGTTATAGATCATGAATCAGAGGTTTTAACCACTTACTTCCATGAGATGATCATCAAGTTTCCCTTGGTTTTTCCGTAAACTTTCATTCTCAATTTTCAATGTTCCCATTTCCCTTTCAAGAGAGCTCAGCTGACTAATCTGAAATTCAGAATGACATTTCTTTGTTAGAGGCAGAGCGTAGACATCACTTTCCTAACCAATTTAACAAGCACAGGTAAGTTACACAAAAAGTCGTATGTGGAAAGAAGACCAGAGCGCCACTCGCTGGCTGGATAGAAGACTATATAATATTCATATACAATAAGTAAATATTTACCCGACAAAAAACACTTGTTTAGTACCTGACCGGAATAAAAAGAAAGGTTTCTCCTTCTGTAAAATGTTGGTACAAAAGAGGTGCACAAACGCATTCATATAAAAGTGGTACTGCATACACACAAATGTGCCATCGGAAGTAATTGTTGCTGAATGCAGAAATTTTACAACATTTGAAATGTCTGCAAGCAGGAGATCGTTTCTCTGTCTTCAGATTCAAAAGGCAAAAGATACTTTCACTGCATATGTACTATGTTGTTAAAGGAGAACTATGGGTTAAGGATCTTCCCCATAGTTCTCCTTAGGGTAACGGGAGGACACAAATACGTCCTCCTGTCACCCTAGGCTCAGTATACCGCGAGCTACAGCTCACGGTATACTGAGACGCCACAGCTGAAGCGGATACCGACAATTATGCCGGGATCCGCCCAGCTGCGTGACTGACAGCTGGCTCTGCCTATCCAGAGGCAGAGCCAGCTGTACCCGCCCCCTCCCCCGTCTGTTCCGCCAGTCAGCGCTGGCGGATCGGAGTGGGAAATCCAGCCCGTCCCCTGTCATGGCAGAGAGCCGTGACAGGATCGAGAGGTGAGCAAACACCGGTATGTGTTCGCTCACCTCCCGATCTACTGAGCCGACCTGTGACAGTCTCATTGTCACAGGTCGGCTAGAACTATGAGGTGAGTGAAAAGCACTCACCTCATAGTTCTCCTTTAAAATGAAGCGATGCAACAAGGTAGGACAAGGCAGATCAGTGTTCACCTCCCGTCCTCTGTGGCACCTACAGACTTTAAAGCTGAATTTCAGCAAAATACATGTAAAGAATTGTTTTTTACCTGCCAAATGAATTGGATTTTTGTCTATTGAGTCCAGGGGTGGCCAACTCCGGCCCTCCAGGTATGGTGGAACTACAAGTCCCAAGAGGCATTGCTAGACTCACAGTTAAAGTCATGACTCCCAGAGGCAGATACATGTTGGGATTTGTAGTTAAAGCACAGCTGGAGGGCCAGTGTTGCCCACCCCTGATCTACGCCTTAGATTTACACAGCTGCGTTACAGTTAAGCAAGGCTTTCAAGTCCCGTCTCTCCCCCAGGTTAAAAATGGACAGTGAACGGAGAGGTAGCAGACTGTCGAGTTGATATCTTTCTCCCTATGAGATGCTCCTTGTTGGCACACAAGTACTAAAGCACAACTGACTGGCTCCTCATGCTGCTTCTGTCTTTCCTAGTCTGAGCTCTGCAGTACAGGGGATTGCAAGGCAGATTCTCTCACTCCGACATGCAGCAATCAGGCCAACAATGTTACACTGAGCGCTGTACAAATAAAGTTGCTCCTGTGCTTGTTCCTATGGACTACAGGGAAAACTACAAGCACTGTAGGGGCCAGTCTATGTCGGACAAAATACATTTAGGCCAACAAACTGCCCACTAAAGAAAGCTTTATCAGGGGTTGCAAGGGAGCCATGAACATTCCATAACCCACCAAACCCAGACAGATTAAGGGGTCCAATTATTAAGCAGCAGTGGGATTGTACCGTGAGCATACCACTGCTTGAAAAAAAGGAGACATAGGGGGTTGATTTACTTCGAATGGTCACAGAAATAGAAAAGGGCCTTCATTTGGAACCCTTTTAATAACCAGTGCTGGAGGAATAGTAACTGGATAGTTGCCATGGTCAACACAGACCATTCATACAGTCCTGTATGAATTCCAATTTTCTTACATAACCCTGACAATACCATTCCTCATTCTGCCATCTACAGTCTCTGATGGAAACCAAGTTTACTCATTAGATGAAGATTTTGCTAACAGATTAGGTTCATTGCAGGCTAGCTGTAGGAGAACAGACCTTCCTGTTTGCAGATGTTAGCTCTAACTGTAGCTGGTCACACTCTCTTTTCAAGCTGGACTTCTCATGTTCTAAGGCTTTCACCAGGCTGGATTGGTTCCCCTGTTTTTGGTGTTTCAAAGAAATTACAGTAGATTCGAGCTGCCGTACCTACAACCACAGAAAGGGAAAAACATTGAGACCGGTGACGTAAGGCGACAACAAACATATTTTAAAGGAATGCAAAACAAATGGACAAAACCTTGAAGGACTACAACAGATTATGTCAACAATATAATATCATCACAAATATTCAGAAATCAAAAGGAAATAGCCTAAAATAAAAGGCGTATTATTCCCAAATAAATCAATTTAGGCTTAATAAATGGCATATAAATTCCCAGATAAATAAATAGCCTAAAACCATTTAGGAACAATGTACATGCCACCAAAAGCTTGGATGGTATTAACATTGAAAACCATATCTTCCCACCAGAAGATGCCATATATCAATATTTCAATCATTTCTCATCAAGTACTACAGATAGCCTATAGAAGCAACATTCTGCAAAGACATACATGTAGTCCAAAATGCACCATGTAGCCAAAAACGTAAATACTACATGTAGCAAATGTCCACTTGCTATACTGTAATTTCAATAAAATGGATTCACTGTTATTGTTGCTAAATAAATCATTTTAAACATGTAGATCTGCCATCAAGCAGTACTATTTGGTTAAATACGATCCTGGAACAAGTGTCCACTTTATATAATATTGTTAACACACGGAATCCAATAAACTCCGATATACTACCAAGTGGCGTGTATATCACCAAGACATGCACTGATTGACTGCTATGCACATATGTCATAAGAGGTCTGCACCTTCACCTGGCATGTCCTTCACATGTATAATCATTTTACCAGACATGTTAGGTAAAGGCACGGATATCCTATGAGCAGTTATTTGGAAGTGTGGAAAATAAGTGCTGGACTAGTGCAGTTATTCTCTTGGTGTTTCTCATCCAGCAATAGTTAAGTGATGTGAACATGTGTGATCTGGTTGATCCACAATCCAAAGGATCTCCACAGTATTCTTGGCTTGGCAGTGAACACAGTAGATGTGGGCATTGAAGCACTACACTAATTCAAATAGTCCAGATACAAATGTATTCCATTAGGGTCAGGGGGCATTCAAGCAGGTTAGCCAATGCATTTCATGGGTCCAAAACACACCCCCTTCTTCAGGGCTTATCGAGAGAAATTGTGTATGTGAACTACAATCCGTGCAGCTTGAACGTTGTATTGTGTTGTAGTTCAGGCTTCTCAGGAGCAGGTATGGCAGCAACCTTTAGTCAAACCAACTGCTGGGAAAGCCTTAAGTACCGCATCACAAACTCAATACATCTTTCAGATTGCACGAATTATAGTCCACATACCCGATTTCTCTCATTAAGCCCTGCTGAAGGGGACGAGTGTTGGACCCCCAGAATGGCCCCTGACCCTAATGGAATAAAGCAGTATTTGGACTATTTTAAATGGTCTGGGGCTTCAATAGCTACATCTAGTGTATCCTATGAGCGGTGAGATTGGTGCATGCCCTCCCTTCCACCTACCATGAGAATTCTAATGGAAGCTCACAGTGTGCCCCTTTCCAATCATAGCTGGTTTGGACAATAAATCTATCCCTGTGCATTTCTCCTGGTATTCTAGTCATAGGCTGCTGAGAGCTATCGGGTACAGTAAGAATATCTTCTGGCATCACTCTACAATGGCGCTACCCATAGTCATAGGCTGCTGAGGGCCATCAGGTACAGTGAGAATCTCTTCTGGCATCCACCTACAATGGCGCTACCCAAAAATAAAAATCCCATTCTTCCCTCTGTACAACGCTGTTCTGTATTTAAGGAAAACAGAAAACCTTTATGCCAAGTACACTCTCCAATGGGAAACTTTACTTCCTGTTAACATAAAAATAATGTGTTGCTCTGCCCCATCTCTCATTGCACGCTCCCCACAATACCTTCTCCCTGGTTTGTGCCAGGTCAGACTTTGTATTGTGAACTTCCCTCTGCAGTCGCTCATTCTCCTGTCTCAGAAGCTGCTGTTCCTGCTCCATCAGCTGCTCCAGGTCATCCCAGTACTGCTTCTTCTGCTGGTTCTGTAGCCCTGAGGATTGTATGGCCATTTCCAAGACCTGTTTCTGAGAGATGAAAAATAACATACATGTTTAATGGAGAACTACAGTAAATGCTCAAGATATCAAAGCACCCTGTAAAGGGAGAGACCACAATATTTACCTGTCTCAGTGCCCATGCCTCCTATTCTCCCCCCCCCCCCCTTGCAGAGAGGCACAGGCCAACAATGTTCAGTATCTGATATCCACCCAGGTGTGTGATGCCTAACCACCCACAAGTTGGGGCTTTTACTGTATAAGAGGCATTCTCGTTGTTTATTTGGTGTTTATATATTTTAGGGGTGTTTTATATATTTGCTGGAGAGCCTTCTTAATATATGAACAGCCCAAGCATTCATTTACTGCATATAATCAGAAGGTTTAGATTAAAACTGAACTCCGGTCTTCCCTTCAGTCTTGCACAGTTGTACCCGCAACTCTCCTGGACTGAAATAGTTTACTCTGATTTCACTGCACACCTTGTATCCAGGATGGAGGACCTCCAGCATCATCCATAATTTTCCTACCCAGCCCGACTGTTACTTGCCCACCCCTTTCATTCACTTGTTTTCAGTTCTATAAACAGGGGTTCAGCATCACATATGGGCGATAGTCCCAACCTGCTAGCCCCTCCCACCAGCCGGGATCTGCCTGCAATGCAAAAGAGAAGCACAGAGACCCAGATGATGTCATTGGGTCCAACATCATATATGAAATGAAAACAGAAAAGCTTTATGTATTCATTTTATTAGCATGCTGGTTGTTGGGGGTAATAGAGGAACCAGCGAAAGGCAAAATACAAGCAAACTAAACTTCAACTTTCAATATGACCATAAGCTCAAAGATATGACACAACAGTCACCTTAGTATTAGCATTTTGCAGTTGTTTGTGCAAGGACATCACTTCCTGTTTTAGAGACTCTTTCTCCTGCTGTGCAACACGAAGGTCAGACTTGATGCGAGACATCTGAAGATTGACATTCTGCAGACTTTCTTCCAGATTCTGGATCTAAAGGGTAAAATAAATGTGCATGTGATGAAAGGAATATACTTTAAAATTCATCTACAGCCAAAACATTTTTATCCCTTAAGGTTCAGACATCTTAGGGAAGGGTTAAATCCTGTTGGGCTATTTTTTATGTTTTTGTCCCTCTGGGGAGTTTTCCCTTCACTTCCAGTCCTGGAGATGCAACAGGAAATTAGAGGAAATCTCAATAAGATGACAGTTGTCATTAGAAAACCTATCCCCATTGATGGATTTCCCATCACTTCTGGTTTCAGAGATGGTCACCAGGACAAATAGAAGGTTGAAATGAATCCTCCTCACTGTGGACACAGGCTTCTAATCCTTCCACACTATGCAAAACTAAAACAGCTTTACAAATTCATCTAGACTGAGGACTTTTTACCTTTTCCTGAGATGTTGCAAGTTGCGATCTTAGGGTGTTTGACTGCTGTTCCCAACTCTTCTGTTCTTGCTTTAAGCTTGCAATCTTATTTTCTAGGTAGGTGACTTTGGCAGACTAGGGAAGCATTGCACAAATCATCATAAACCATCCAACAAGTATATATTTCAGTGAGAAAAATTTTATATACACATCATTACTGGTTTGCTTAGAGCAGAGTGATAGGACTGCAGTATTCGGGCAAGATTTAGGCAATGACATGACAAGCTGACCACACAACTTAAGGAGTTCTCATTCAACTCTGCAGCTGCAGTCAATGTCCGGCTGACAATTTTCCACCCGGCTCCTAGGATGAAAGTTAATCGAAAAATCGAGCCGGGTGGTGCTGGAAGGACCACGTTTAGTTTATCAATTTGTAGTCCATCACAGGAGCGAGCTTGGAGCGGTGACTTTACAACACACACAGGGACCATGGGGAACAGAATGTAGCCACCCATAGATTTACGTAGATTGAGTTTAGGGTCACCTACACAAGGCCTCATTTGACATCAGTGCACATAACTTACAAGTGGTTTATAAATTTTTTACCTTTCCCACGCAATTTCCAAGCTCCTCCCCCAGCGTTTCCACCTCTTTTAGCAGCTTTTCATTCTTATTCTTCAGGAGCGAAATTTCATTCTTTAAGTCCGTAATCTCCGAGCATTTTGCAAGCTGTGAAAACGAAAAGGGGCAGTTTCAGGGGAGTTAATGGATGAATGTATCTGCCGACTTATCCCCAAGGGGCAATTTTGAAGTGTACGTAAACCCTTTGCTCCCTTTTGGTCTGTTGAATACACCATTGGAAGCATTGTGTCATATTTTTTAGGAAGTACAACGCCTGTTGAACTCACCGGAAATCTTGTGAACTTTAACACCCTGGGCTCTCTGCCTGTGCTGAATATTATCAGTTACTTTGTTCTCCGAGATTACCGAACCACACCCTTCTATGTTATAGAGTATGGAAGAGGGGCTGGGGGTTACATAGTCTCATCTTGTTTCTGTTGTTCTGACAAAGGGTGAGAGTGTTCTCACCCTGGAACTGGCAGAAATTCAGAGCTCCTGTGTGCACTTCCTGTGTTATTTCAAACAGCTTTCCAAGTTTCTACGTTGGACTACAGAATGATTTGCATTTATTTTGTAAAGATCTGAAAGTGGGAGTGGCCATATAATTAAGCAAAAGACAACTGGGAGGGCTGACACCACTCAAGCCACACAAATGCTGTCAGCTGTCAGCGTACAACAGGACTTAGGAGCTGAGTGTATTTCGGTAACATAAACAGGTATTTTTCTGCACGTGAGGGTCTTTAAAAAAAGGTATGAGTAGGAAAGAGAAAAGCTAGCCATAAATTGTGTAATACAATTGTATGGTGTAAGAAAAAGGGTGTACTTCAACAGGCCATTCAAATTGTATCCAATCAGGCAGGTCGTTGTACTACAAAGAAGCTGTTAAATCTAAAGATCTTGAAACAGAGACTACCAGCAGGATATGACCCATCAGAAATAAATAGCAGGTTATGAATCAACGTGGTCTCACCTCCTTCGTCTCTATCTCCTGCCTCAGAAGAGTGTTCTCCTGCTCTAAGAAACGACTGTGTACTTTGATCTGTGACAACTCTTGCTCGGAATCCAAAACCTGAAGAAAAAAAAAAAAGTTGTCGTCTTCCAAGTAAATTAGCAGTTGTATCTGCAGCTTCCCACCTTTGCTGACCAGATACCGCAAGCTTAGACTATACACATATCTATCTAATACGTTTCAGTGGCCAGTAAGGATGGTGTGGGCTAGGACAGTGGATGGGCAGGGATTGCCCCTGAAGTCAGGATAGTCAAACCCATAGAAGAGACAAGTAACCAAGGTGCAAAGGTGCTTCATCTCAGGCAAAACATTTACTTCTACCTGACCCTCACACTTTACCATGTCATTGAGGTATTTCCTTTCACTTTTATTTATTGTACCTTTGACCTGTAGCCTTCAATCTCCTCTTTTAGTTGACCCTTTTCCTTCTGCCACTCTTCCACTCCTTTAGCGGAATCCTTGCGCTCTTTCTGCTTGAGAAACATCATGAGCCTGCAGTTCAGATCTTGGAGGTTCTCTTGGTTCTTTGAGTTCTTCATGAACAGCTCCTCATTTTCTGAGAGCAGCTGTTCATTCCTGGATTTCAATTCAGTTACCTGAATAAAATAGATCAAATTAAGTCTAGGTTTACTCCTAATACTATTAAAATATTAAACACCATGACATGTGTAATGGGTACTCCTCTAGGGAAGTCAGAAATGGAAAAAGATTTGGGGGTCATAGTAGACCACAGATTGAACAATAGTATGCAATGCCAGGCTGCAGCAAACAAAGCTAGCAAAGTACTGTCATCCATTAATAAGGGAATGTACTGTAGAGACAAAGCAATATTTTTGCCACTTTATAGATCACTGGATCAGCCTCATCTTGAGTTTGGGGTTCCGTTTTGGTCACCGATTCACAGAAAGGATGTCCTGGAGCCGGAGAGAGTCCAGAGAAGTGCAACTAAACTAGTTAAGAGGCGGGTAGGACCAAAGATATGAGACAAGGTTACTAAATTTAAACTTGTTCACGCAGCCTAGGCAAAGTAATTTGCCTGGAGCTCAAGATGGCATTGTAATGATAAAAGGTGGAGCTTTTCTGAAATGTTAAAACTGTTGCTGACATGTTAGGAATTTATTCATGTAGACTTGTAAAATTCTTGACAGGCCCACTTTAAAAAGGAGAGAACCTTAACATCTGGCATTATGGGAAACAAATGTCAATATAAACTTAACTGAGTGACTGTTCTACTCACCATCTTTTCCAGAGCAAATTTTTCATTCTGAATGGTCTCAAGGTTCTCCCTGGCAAACAGAATGAAATCATCAAGATGCCAGGCAATTTAAAATAGGATTAAAGACGGCGGTTTTTTTTTTTACATTGCATGATACAAAATAGCAATCATAAAAACTAAATTTCAAGTGCATTTAAAAGATTTTTTTTTTTGTATAGAGCAGGAAATTGTTTAAGTGCATCAAAACATGAGAAATTTAATATACTGCAGATTAACAGTCCTTAGATGTTGTGACTGCATTAGATTTCTATTTTAATGAACAAATATGACAAAACATTTTTAACTGTATATTTAACTGATCCAAAGGGAGGAAGTAAAAAGTTTGTTTGGGTTTACATACACCGTTTGCGGTCTGTAGTCTAAGAAGGCAGCTTCCCTTCACTTCCTGTGCTAGAGACTCTACAGGAAGAGAGAAGAAATCTCTCTAAAGTAAGAAAAATCCCCTCAGATAGGCCTTGATGATGCTGGACATCCTCCAGCCAGGAAATGAGTTGGGCTCTGACTTAATGCACATTTGGAGAAGATCAGTGTGCAGTAAAATCAGATTAAGCCATTTCAGTCCAGGAGATGAGCCGGTACAGCTGTGCAAGACTGAACGCAAGGCTGGAGATCAACGTTAACCATTCCCTATACCCCTTCTCTATCCAAAACTAGAGAAAACATTTGGCTGTGATATGAAATGCTACAGATAAGAATATGAAAAAAAAAAAGGAGTAATAAAAACGATAAACTATTTCTGTAACTAACATACAAATTCATAAAACATCTCCGATTCTTCGGCTAGGTGTCTGCTGTGCAGGACTTGCAGGTGCAGGCTGAGTAGTGTATGTTCACCATTCATATATGTAATCCAAAAGACTGCCGCACTCCGCAGGTCAAAGCAGAAAACTTCAGACTTTATTGTAATCCAAGATAGATACATACACTGCAAACAAGAGGCCTCTATGAATAAGCCGTATCGGTGAAACTCGTAAGAGGGTTCGTTTGGTCTAGCGAGCTGGTTTGCGGTTTATGCATCTTTCTTGGATTACAATAAAGTTTGAAGTTACCTTCTTTGACCTGCGGAGTGCGGCGGCCTTTTGGATTACATACTTCTGTAACTGCCATCAATAATAACTTACCACATCTCCTCACAAGCATTCAGCAGTTCAGACATTTTTTGGTTAGAGCTTTCTTCTTCCTCTTTCAGAGATGTAACTTGTTCACCGAGTGCTGTATATTCTTCCTTTAAAGCTAAATTCTCAGCTCTAGAACAGAGAAAATAATTGTTACCCAGAACAATAAAAACGATGTTCCTTCTCATTTAAACATTTTGTTGATGGCAAGCATACCCCCTAATGTACACGTCGTTTAAAAGGATAGAACTCCCTGTATTAGCAATGACACCACCTAATACACAATATGGCCAAATGCTTGAGGACACCTGACCTGTGCAGACGATAGCTTATCTCTAAAGTTGCTAATCCGGGACAGACAGAGTAATGAGGTGTTAATTTACTCTGCACCCAGTGGATAGTCTAGAAATCACTGCATTTAATACCAGAAGTTAGAAAAATATGCAAAACTGGTAAAGTCACATCAAAGCTACTTTAAAAGTAAACCTTAACATAGTAACTCCAAGTAGAATTTGGTGGAGATCTGGCCATCACACATACTGTATGACCCAAAGTATACAGGGACACCTCCAAATTGTGAGTTTATGCATTTCCAGTGAAGGGGGCGGTCAATGGTATAGTATACAAAGACTTTACACAACTGAGCTCCTCCAACCCTGTGGTAGAAGTTTGGTGAAGGCCCTTTTCTGTTCCAGCATGACTGTGCCCCTGTGTACAAAGCCAGGTCCATAAAGACATGGTTTGAGGAGTTTGGTATGGAGGAGCTCCCATTGGCATGTACAAAATCTTGACCTCAACCGTACTGAATCCTTTTGGAGATGAATTGAATGAAAAGACCTGAATAGCAACCAAAGTTCCAACACGACAACGGAGGTAGTTAAAGCTGCAAAGATGGATGTCCAGCAAACTCATAGTTGGATTGCTCAGGTATTCACAAACATTTGGTCATATAGTGTATACTGCACTGCAGAGAGTGTCAGAAACTAAGGGAATCTAAACACTGCTCATTGGGACAAGACAAAACAGCTTCATCAGGTAAATGTCTTCTCCTGTCTATTGGTGCCTTCTAATAAGCTTCATCTTTACACTCAAAACCGGTTAAAATTTTGGGAGTATGGTCGTTATAAAAAAGTCACACAGTTACTGACACCGACCAGGCTAGATTTTCATCACTGGAGCCTGTAGGCACACAACCTTAACCCCCTTAACAGTCCTGTAACAAGTGTAGTTATTTTACACAAAACAGTTTTCCTTGTCTTAACCTGGCTTACACTATTATGATAATGTATAAATGACCTTATATAAAATTACTATTCCTACTGATAATGGAAAAATGTGTAGACCAATAAGTATACATGGAAAAGCTGCCTCTATGCCGTCTTTCTGAACGTGCCTACTATTGCTACATAATAAAATCAGGAGCTGGACATTGAATGGAGACTTTTATGTTACTTTCGCATATATGTTATTTAATGCTGCTTGCTGTATCTTTTGTAGCACATTCTTAATGAATGTTTGCACATGAACACATTTAAAATCACCCAACACTGCAATTTAACCACATTAAAATCAGAAATAAAAAAAAAAGATTTGTATGTTTGCATATTTGATTAATAAAATTAGAATATAAGTACATTTCCATTAGCATAATTACAAGGCAGCGTTTATTAGCAAGCTTGCAGCAAGATTCAACAGGCAAGAAGAGAAAGCCAAACACCATCTCTGCAGCACTAGTGGGCAGAACGTCACCCTAATACAATTAATTTCATTATTGAATGGACAGTTTTCGGGGAAGGAGGCCACATATGGTGTAGATCTGGGTTTTAATGGTGATGTGACAAAGACTGCAGCTGTTGCTTTCTCCGTACCGCTCTGGTAATTCATAGACAGACGGATCGCCAGATTTGTGGCTGATTTTTTTGGACAACGTAACACTTTTCTCTGCTGCAAAATCACTACCAAAAGTTATAAAATAAAAATTGTGACTGTGCAAGATAGTACTGTATTGTTTCAAAACTAACAGGGAACAGAAATGTATGATCACTTCTGTTAATCAAATTAAATTTTTTAAAGTTTTGGAAAGACTAAATCATACCATATCTTTTTATTGCAGACCATAACCCCACTGAGGAGTGGTCACCTCATTTTCTGTACCTCTTACACCAGGCTGGGAAATGAGTAGGGGGGGGGGGGGGCCTGGCACTGTAGCATGAAGACATGAACAGTATTAATAACCTGACAAAAGGTCCTAACCCTTTCTGAAAGACTGCAAATAGCAACCAGATTCTATCCCCTAACCCAATGTGGCTGGATTTAAAATGGAAAAATTATGGAAAAAGATTTCTGGCCCAACAGAAAAAGGACAATTTCAACTCTACAGTTCACAATTTTTACCCTCTTTATTCATGAAAGAGGATTTTTCTTTTTGTACAAATGATCCATCTCAGGCAAACAAAATGTTGAGATTGAAAAATTGCCAATTTCCTCAGGTGGCTATCTTATGTCTTGGGTTATTCTTAGGACTGCCACAGATTGTGACTAAAGATAGTCTTCCGTAAAAAGACGGTAGCGCTGAACGCCAAACAAATTTATACGGCTACATTTCAATAAGCTTTCCCTGAAAAATACTATTCTTTCAATAGAAAAAATGGCAAGGTTATTTAACAAACATCCAATTGCTTGTGGAAGGCACCAGTTCCAGTCAATTTTTTTTTATGAAGCCCATTTTGTGACTTTGTTTTCATGTCCTACAAAAACCTGGAATCGATTCATAATACAAAATAGTTATAGTGCCCACCAGTGCTGCACAGCTTACAAAAAGAACAAAACAACAAAACAAGTTAGTTACAATAAAAGGCAAAGAGGAAATATAACAAATTAGTGTGTTACAAGAATCATTAAAAAGACAAAGAAAAAAGAAATAGACCATCTCCTTCAAGATGAAGCCTCTGTAAAAGCAGTATATTAGGGCGGCCAAACCAAAAGATGTTAAATTGCCATGTTCCCATTCAGTTGTTACAACAATGTTAGTTTTAGACATTCCTAGGCGTTGAGAAAGTAGCGGTGGTAAAAGAAAAGTTCTTGAAGTTGATGCCAGCAGAAGGTATAAACACTGATATTACCTCAGATGTTCCATCATCTTCTTATCTCCATCCATCGTGCTATCCACAGTAGATCTTCCCTCCTTCCTCTCAGTCTTTACACTTGGGCTCATATGTGAACCTGATTCTTGAAGATCTCTTTCAAGCCGAACATCTTCTCCAGTTGCCTCATGATCAACTGTGTTATTTAAACAGGTTCCCAACTTTTCTAAAACATCTTCTTTATTTCTCTGTGTTAGGAATCCCAAAGACTCTTCTGAATGTTTATCATATTCTACCCCGTTTGCCCAGATATGGCCATTTTCTTGTTTTCCTTCTGGAGGTAAAGGTTTTGAGGACTTATCTTGCAGAGGACATTCTTGATATTTGAGGCTTTGTCCACTTTCTTCGGCCTGTAGGTCAGTTTGAATCCCCTTATTTCTTAAAAGTGGCTTTATTAACGGCTTTGTTTCCAACACACATATTTTCTTCTGCATCATATGAACCAGGGACTTCAGTTCTTCATTTTCCTTCTTCGTTTCATCATACAGATTCTCCAGTTTTAAAGAAGCTTCAGTTATCTCCTCCATGTTCTGAATTTCATTTTGAAGCCAAGAAACCTCTGCGGATAAAGTTCTGTTGTTTTCTACAGCTTCCATGTTTCTAAGCTCCATGGCTTTCATGTTTTTTTGAAGGTGCAAATTTTCTTTCTTGGCGACAGCTAGCAAAAGTTTCAGACCAGGGATGCTAATGGGGGCATCGTTCAGTTCTGGCAATACAATTTCTTCTAAGCGGATGGCCTTTTTCACCTGGTCATATTCTAAAGATAAATTATTTAGCTTGTCTTGGATTAATACCACCTGTATTTTTAAATGGTCATTCTCGGTCTTCACGTCTCTATAGCTTGTTTCAAGCTGGCATAAAACTTTGGTAGTATCTTCAAGTTCTCTTGTTTTCTTTTGAAGTTTCAAATGAATGCTGTCGAAGGTTTTCTTGTTCTCCTCAAAAGCAATATCGGCCGTTTTAAACTCAATATTTTTTTCAGGCTGCGGCTTTGCAGGCTGGTCATCTTCCATCTTTGTCAGTTCATCTGGGGTCTCTGCTTCCCTGGTCTTGTTCTCCATTAAGCTAAGCTTCATCTGAAGTTTAGAAACTTCGGTCAACAGTCTAACATTTTCTTTAACGGTTTGCTCATGGGCAGTTTGAAGGTTTCTGAAAATTCCTCCATCAATGACTGCTGATGTATTTTGTAACTCTGAAACCATCAGCTTTAACTCATAGTTTTCTTTCTTTATCAACAGATGTTCATCCTGAATTTTCAACAAAGATGCAACTTTGTCTTCCATTTCCTTGACTGTGCCTTTAAGTCTTAATATTTCCCCTCTACCTTTTTGTGCCTCACTGCAAATGACTTTGTAATGTTCTTCCGACTGTAACCGTTTTAAGTTAAAACACTCTCTCTCAACTATACGGTCTTGCTCTACAGTTTCCAAGGCTTCATGTAGAACTTGAACATCTTTCTCTGCTTGACACACTTGCTCACTTTTCTCTTGTAAATCGTGCAATAGTTTTTCTGAAGCCAGCTTATCTTCCTCCATCACTTTACCAAGATCAAGTTTCTTAAGTTTTGAGATCTCCGACAATAACATGACATTCTCATGGACCGCCTTTTCATGCACTTTCTGTAGATTCTTCAGAGCGCTTCTTTCCTCTTCTTGAACCATGTTTCCTTGTATTTGAGATATATCTTTTTTCAGGTCTTCATTTTCTTTCATCACCAACAAATACTCTTGCTGTGTTTTGGATAAAGAACTGATCTCGTTTTGAAGTTGATTGATTATGCTTTGAAGCCTATCTATTTCTAAAAGCATTTCTTGTCTTTTTGCATTTGTACAATCATACAATTCTTTATAACGTTCCTCTGATTTTAAAAGTTTGGTTTGAAGGATTTGTTTCTCAACTGTATTGTCTTTTTCCATTTTTTCTATTGTTTGTTCTAGAGACTGAATATTGTTCTTGGTATGAGACAGTTTTTCATTGCCATCTTTCAATTTCATTTCTGAAGACGTTAAGGCCTGTTTGTTCTCGTCTAACTTGCCAGCCTTTTGAGCTTTGTCAATCTCTATTTTGGCCAAGTTCAGATTCTTCTTAAGTCTACTGATTTCAGACTGTAACACAAGATTTTCTTTCAGCATCTGCTCATGCACATTTTGCAGGTTTCTGTAAGCATGCCTTTCCTCTTCAAGACTAGCTGGACAGTTATGAAATTGTGACAAAACATTTTTTAATTCAGAATTTTCTTTTTCCATCAACTTGAATTCTGTTTGAATGTTAGATAAAGATGTGGTCTCATCCTTTAATTCATGGATGGTATTTTGAAGCTTAGTTATCTCTTCCATCATCTCTAATCTCTTTTCCTCTGTCCTCTTACACCCCTTCTTATAAAGTTCTTCTGCAGTTGACAATTTGGAACAGAGTTCATCTTTCTCAAATTCAGATTGCTTCTGGAGTTTTTCTAGTGTCTCTTGAAGTTCTTGAAATTCTTTCTTGGCTAGACAGATTTGCTCATCTTTGTCCAATAACTTCATTTCTAGGGACTTCACATCTTGTGTAAATTCTACTTCACTCTCCAAGTCACCTTTCTCTCTTGCTTGTATTAGGTCCTGTTCAGCCAAATCCAACTTCCTTTGAAGGTCTGATAGTTTAGACAGTAGCTCAGCTTTGTCTTTAACAGTCTGCTCTTGCATATTGTGTAATTTTTCCATACTAAATATCTTGTCCTCTAGGAGAACCAAATTATTCTGGAGCTGTGAAACTTCATTTTTCATTTTTAAATTCTCCTTCCTCACCAACTCATATTCTCCCTGAATTACAGAAAAAGACATAATCTTGGCCTTTAAATCATCGATGATATTTTGAAGCCTATTGATTTCTTCAAGCAACTCTAATTGCTTCTCCTCTGTCTTCTCACCAACTTCTTTTTGGAGTTCTTCTGACATTGCTACTCTAGCGTTAAGTTCTTCTTTTTCAGATTTATGTTGCTTTTCTAGTTCTGCAATAGTTTTTTGAAGACCAAGAACTTCTTTCTCAGCCTGACATAACTGTTCATCTCTTTCAGTCAATTCCTCCCGGAGGTCACTTTCTAGCTGAAGGACTTTCTTAGCAAGAGCATCTTCTATTTGTTTTGATCCGGCCCTCAGGTTATTCAACTCGTTTTCCATTTGTTTCTTTTCAGAATTTAGATTGTTAAATAGTTCCTTGTAGGATTTTTCCAAGGCATCCTTTTCTTGTGAAATATTTTCCATTAACCTCTCTCGTGTCTCTATATGCTCCTGAAGGAGTTCTTCCTTTTCAAATGCCCACTGAGCCTTCTCTTCTGCATGTTGATCATGGAGATCTTGAAAATCATTTTGCAACCGTCTTTCAAGACTCCTTGAGTTATCTTTGTAGGTTTTCTCTGCCAACTCTAAATCCTGTGCAAACTGAGATTTAATTTCCAAAATTCTTCTGTTACATTCGGCTTCCATTTCTTTCCTAAATGTTGTCAATATAGAAGATTATAAAAACAAGAAAACAAGAAGACTGCCAGCCAAACTTTTTCCTCTAGTTTTGGTTTGAGAGTGAGAGGGTTAGAGCCTTAGGTTTTATTGCCATCAGCATCCCAGTTAGGAAGATCCACCCTTACTATCTTTTGTGGTTACCACTGACCGAGTACTGAGAAGTTTAAAATTCTACAGCTGTCATTGGCACAAGAATAGAAGGGTCATCTTCCTTTGGTCTGGTAAAAACCCTAAAAAGGTGAGATTTCCCCTTACCGTTTGTCATGTCTCGGAGACAAGAAGTGAAGGGAAATTTCCTTGACAGTAGTCACAGAAAACAAAAACCTGCGAGGTTCTAACCCCTTTTCCAAGTATTCAAAACCAGAAAAAGCTTTGGCTGGAGTTCTGCTTTGCGAATATTGCTATTCCAAACTGTATGAAAATAGGAGACCAGATAAATCACAAATTAAATCAAGAAATGAGATAATCATTGATTTTTCAGTCCAAATCACTTATGCAAAGCTTGTGCAGATAGGCAATCAAAGCAGTGAAATTCAGCCCTCTTAGTTATCCTTCAACACAACACTTCAAGGGTACCTCTATGCAAGTTTTTTTTTTTTTTTTAAGAAACATTTGTTGACTGGCACATAAAACAAGATGATTAAAAATAAATGGCAAATGTGTACAGATGTATTTCTGTGAAATAGGACTATGAATTTTAATAAGCATAATCCTGGAAATGAGAAGGTAGGTAGATGCTGTGCTTGGTCATTCCTGTAAGGGTTTTAGCATATTTTAGGGTTTTCATGTTTGAAGGGCCTGTTTGTAGATTGGTATGCCTCCCTGCTGTTCATATTAAGTTGTTAGACTGTATAAATGTTTTAGGACATAGGCTTAACCATTCTGAGCAACTCGGAAGCAACATCAGCCTCTTCCATAAGTAAACCTCCAATTATTTTATTTTAAATTGTGTTTATTATATTCCATTCACTTGAAGCAACTTTTTTATGATCACAAAAGGGTGCCCATGAAAGGCAACCTGGCAAGAGACTGCCATCGTAAAACTCTCCTTGTGAAAATGGTAGTCTGACATCAATATTATGACTTGGACATAATACAGATAAAAGACTTCTGACTCTTCGCCAACTGTCTTGAACTGCATACTGCACTCCAAGTCAGTGACTCAGAAAGCCATCACAGCCAGGCAATGATCACTTTTACAAGGATAGCAATGGCAATCATAATTATCTTAGCAGGTCTAAATATAAGAATTTCACATTTAAACAGAATGGTGTAAGTTTTTATTTTGCTTTTCCTTGAAGCCATGTCTTGGCATTCTGAGAACTGAGCTGAAATCTCACAATTCCCAACATTAATCTTTATTCTGAGGTGAAAGCTGATGGGAGTCTATACTAAAGGTGCAGGGAATCAGAAGCCCTGGCCCTGGTCACCATGATGCCCTGAATACACTGTGTAATGGTGCAGAGACTGGTGCCGACATGTCATGTCAGCACCACTATCTGCATCATTGAGGACCACACACGGTCAGAAAAAAGGGCAAAGAGAAAGAGGACTCATGACGGCCCTGATGGCTTACTGGAAAAGGAGTGTATTCAAAATATACATACGAGATAAAATTCCCATATTCCCATATGTAGGGAGCACTGGGGGGGGGGCAAGAGTTTGTCTGGAGACTGGCGTAGAGCTACAAAATAACTTCTACAAAGTTTTGTTAAGTTTTGATGGTAGGACAATAAAATAAGCTCAATACATTCTGAAAAGCTCTTATGATGCAACAAAGCACTTCATGCCATATACAGATAAGTATATATTGATAACTTTGATCCAGAAGACAAAGAACACGTCTTATCGTCACCCACCTTTGTGCCTGAGCTTCTTGCTGGTGTTGCTCCAACAGATGCCTTCTTACTTCTTGTGTGTCCAACTCGTGTTTTTCCTGAAAACTTGATATTTGCTCATGAAAATGTTGCTCCAATTGATTTCTCTGGTCTTCATAGGTTGTTACAAGCTCAACCAGTCGAGCTTCTGCCTCCTTTTCAATGTCCTCTGATCTCTGGACCAGTTCCTCCTTCTCCTTATGATATACATGTCTGGCTTCTTCTAGCTGCAGTTGTAGGGTTGATTCTTTTTCCATCAACTGCTGCTTCTGGATGCTAAACTCTGCCTCCATTGTGCTAACCTGGTCCTGGTGCTTAAATTCTGCCCTGTGCTGCTCTTCTTTAAGTCTCTGTATGTCGGCTTCCAGTTCTAAGTGCTTCATTTTGAAGATCTTTATTTGCTCTTCAGCTTTGTGAATCTGGATGTCGAGTTTCTCCTTCAGGGCTTCCTGTTCTTTTTCACATAAATGGTTTGCATCTTTTAGTTTTTCTTCATAGTGCATGGTCTGAAGGAAACAAATTGCTTTAATTTAAAAAAAAGAACTTGACTGAATGTCATCTATTTAATTCTAGGAGTATAATGTTACATTCCTGAGACCATTATTCTCTTCACAACCATAAATAGTCTTGACCTCTAGTGATTAAATAAAAATAAAACTTATGACCGTGAAAAGCTAGCACTGACAAAGTCGACTACCAATGATCAACAGATGGAAGCCAAAAAGTTTGCCTTGTAACCCAACAGTCTTGTTGGCGATAAGACCTATTAACAAGCACACCCATGAGGTGAACAGAGGTAACTTAAAAGAGAACTATGGGGTAACCTTTTTATCCCATAGTTCTCTTAAGGGTCACGGGAGGACATATACTAGCATCCTCCCGTGACCCAAAGCTCAGTATATCGCGAGCTACAGATCGCTGTATACTGAGACCGCCGCAGCCGGGACAGATCCCAACATTGCTGTTGAGATACACCCAGCTGCGTGAGTGACAGCTGGCTCTGCCTATCTAGAGGCCCAGCCAGCTGTACCCGCCCCCCTACTCCATCCGTTCCTCCAGTCAGCGCTGGAGGATCGAAGCGGGGAGGAGGGGAATCCCTGCGGGAAGTGGTCACTGACCGTCATGGCTCTCTGCAGGGAGATGATCATGAAGTGAGCGAGCGATGGTATGTGTTCGCTCACTTCCCGATCTATTGAGCCGACGTGTGACAGTTTCATTGCCACATGTCGGCTCGAACTATGAGAATGAGTGATTTTCACTCACCTCATAGTTCTCCTTTAAAGGTTCAGGGCACTTGAAGAATTTTATTAACCCTTGCATGGAAGTTAGCTCCACACAACAAGGGTTAAGTGCTTGTTTTGGTCTAGGGAGGAAAATGAAAGAAAAAAAACCTCACAACTCACAAAAAACATTATACTCACCCGATCCTCTGAGCCAGTGTGGGTATAGTCCAACTGCAAGGGTCAATAACAATTTTGCCCAGAGTTCTTCCTTAATACACACTTGGAGGTTTAAGACGTGAAATAGTCTACTCTAATATAAACATAACTCTTGCTGCAGAAAAGCTGGTTTGGAAATGGTTGAAATGGAGCGTGAAGCTCTTGTAACCATTCCTAAATACAGGAAACTGTGAAGGATCATATATTAGTTTTATCCAACTGATCTTTAGCTACATACTAGAATTTCCATAACCCCAACATTGATACCTACTTTATTTTCCAGTTCCAGGGTCCACTTCTCGACCTCTCTCTGGTGCTGCTCCCGCATCTGCTCAATGGCCATTTCTGCTTCTATACTCATGTTTAGAGGAGGACAGTCTTCAGAACCAATACCTGCAACAAAGAAATGCTTATTACAAATACAACATATTGCACTAAGTCTTGTAAAGTCATAATGAAGCAAGTTGAGTTGGCCTACTGATATTTGACGCTTCAAGAGAGCCAGTCACCCATGGACGTGGGCAAGAATTTGAACATATAGAATAAAATTAATGTAATGGGGACAGCAATAAAACAAATTAAAAAAGAGTATCTAGCTTTACTCTATGCTACTTACCAAAAGTAAAATCAGTAAAAATGCCCCTATTAAAGAGGCGTACCTTCACTTCCTGTCTTGGTAAAAGCGTTGGTCACTGAAACAGGAAGAAGAAGAAAAAAAAACTCCTCCCAATTCATTAAAAAAATAAAAAGGAGAAGAAAGCAGAAAAAAAAAAAAGAAAAAAAGGAAGAAAGAAGCATCTCCAGCCAAAGTTGGATCCCTAGTTGAAGCATAGTTTGTTCCAGGACACAACGTTGGCCTGCCTAATGGACAATGAAGGGGTAGCGGCACACTAAAGAGTCCTTGCTCTCCTCTCTACTGGTGCCTTGTAGATGAACCATTATGGACCACAGGGAACGGATACTTTTCTTTACCTTGCACATTTTTTTTTTTACCTTGGTCACATTCAACTGAGCTTTTGTTATCCATTTCATCAAACAAAGAATTCTTCAGAGAGGACCGAAAACCTCGGACACCTTGAGCACGGTAGTCTTCCAGTTCCAGCTGCAGCTCATCAATACGATCCTGCAGCTCCTGAGTGCATAGAAATGGGATACGTCATTTCAGAATAAATTACAGAAGATTTGTCAGCAAAACTTGCAGGTGAAACACAGTTATGAATCTGTCCGCTCACCCTGCGCTGCCTCTCGTACTCATTGCGTAACTGCAACAACTTCTCCTCGTGCCGGAAAAACTCTACATAGCTTGGGTCCAAGTCTCCAAACTGCCAAAAGAGAAAAATGTTATTTGTGTAATGAAGGAACTGCAGCATCTCCACTGTGCAGGAGGTACATATGGACATCTCCCGCGACGCTCTACAATAATTCATTATTGCATTTAGAGACAAAGAGGGAAGGGAGAGGCTCGAAGAGATCGCAATAAACTTACTGCATTACCTACATACTGTGCGGACCAATATCTTAACTTTTTCCCATGCGATAAAATCTGAATTTTTGGCTATAAAAACAGCTTAATAACCCTAATCAAGTACATATTTTCTGAAAGCAGAGGCCCTGTAGGAGTAAAAAAAAATGCTTTGTTGCAATTTTTCATGTTGCAAATTTGTTCAAAATGTTTAAATCGAACTAGAATCGCAAAAAAACAACACTACAAAAAATACCCACAATGTCCCGTAGGCGACACTTTAAAAGCTTTTATCGCTCATCAGTTTAGTGTTAACAGTGATTGATGGTCCTAGAAATATTGCTCTCATGCCGATACTTGGGGAGGTATGAAACGTGTGGTGCAATAGTCACAATCTGCTTCACAAGCTTCTTCTCCGGCTACAGGAGCTGGAGAAATTACAGGCCGAAGGTGGAAGAGATGTAATACACATCGTTTCCGGGTTCAGATCAGCAGCTGGGGGTGTGTTGATTTCCCTCCGATGGAAGAGGGCAGAACTGCCGTGCCGGTCACAGGCCCCAGGGGGACAGCGGAGCCTGAGGTAGCTGGCACGCCAGTGGGGGGCATTCAGACTCCCTGGCGCGTTACAAGCAATCAGGTGGCTGTATAGCACAATGCAGCGGCCGAGCTGTCTGACACTTTACCTAATCAACATCAAGACTCCTCTGCAGCTTGGCTGTCAGGGATTCACACTCCACCAGCTTCTCTGTGGTCTCAAGCAGCTCATTCTCCATGCGGGTATTCTCCTAGAGAAAAAGAAAGTGCAGTCTGTGACAAGCATCTCTTTGGTGCCAAAATGGGAGTACAGCACACTGGATCCCAACCAAACCCATATATCTGATCTGCCCAAAACAAAAACAAACGAAAAAAGCTATACTACCAATTATGACAAGTAGGCAAATGGGCCTTCCATTCAACCTAGGTCTCTAGGAAGACAGCCAAAGGCTGTGACATGGCATGAGACAGCCCTGGGTGTCTACGCAGTAAGTTCAGTTCACTCCCAGTGGTTGAACAGAGCAACAGAAAAGCAAAGGAAAGGAATGTGAACCTAAGGCTGGGAGTGGAGGCATTGGAACTATAGCTACACAAAACAACAAAAATTTACATATTGCAGCTTGCAAGTACTTAGATGTGGTGGCTGCATTAGTTTCTTTCAGGCCTTGTATATTTTCTTCAAGTACAGAATACGTGTTGATTGTCAAAAATCTTGTGTCCTTGTAACTTATTGTCCAGTGAACTGAAATCTCAAACAATATCGAATGAGAACGAGTGAAGGAGGTGTTTGCAGTCAAAATCCAACAGTGACAACATTGCTCCTTTATAGATGCAATGCAGTGAGTGAGAGTTGTCACCATAGGACAGAAAGTTTTGTTACTGGCAGAATCACCAGGTGAAAAATGAGAGGGAGAAAGACTTTAAAAAAAAAAAAAAGAATGCTAATGCTGCCAGATCATCTAAGGGCTGGTAAGATGCAATAGATCACATTTTTGTTTTTGGGTTTAGAAACAATTTAAGTGAATCTGTTGCCCTTCATATGAAAATCATAGGTTCCCTTTAACGTATATCATAAAATATTATGTTATCACTAGCGCTGATGGCTCCTTTTCCCGCTTTACTCCTCAATGAGACCTAAAATTCTGCACGTTGCCACTGATCTGGGATTGTCTAACTGAATTACCCCGTTTACCTTGGAAATGCCTCTCCACCTACCTTTATAGACAAAGTCAGCCGGTCTCGTAGGTAATTCTCTTCCACTCTGACTTTCTCCAAATCCTGTTCTAGCTCTTGCCGCTGCCGATTTGCTTGCTGAAACATCTGCTCTCTCTCTTTCCTCAGTTCATTTTTTAGGGCAGCTGTTCTCTCCTTGTACTCTTCATCCAGTTTTCTGTGCACCAAAAAAAACAGATGATTGGGGCACAATGGATTGTAGATATGGGCAGGACATCTTAACTAAACTGCCTGCACACAAACCAGTTATACATTTTGACTATTTGACAGAGACTATTATTTTATAACCAATACAATTCCTGTAGCCATTGAATCTCTCTCTAAAACTGGATCTGCTCCCTACTATATTGCCTTCGGAGAACAATACTGCCAACTCCGCTGCCTACTGAAAGAATTTAGACTACACATGGGTTCCTCAGTCTAGATGCGTCTTTGCCTTCCTGCAGTCATGAAGCACTTTTCTTCAAATTTACAATTCTTAATTTTTTTAGCCAGACAAGAAATTGTGAAGAATTCTGCTCCCGAGCAGAGGAAATCCAGGTGACTTCAAGCTTGCTTTGGAGTTTTATCAAGGCCACGGATGGGCACCATACAGCTGGTTCTAAAAAAAAGTACACATTGCGATGTACCGGGATCCGCGCATCAGCACTGTGCTGAGCAATACAACTGAAGGCAATTCTTAAAACTAGGAACTTGTCTCAAATAGAATCTAACGAACCTTGTATTGCATAGCAAAAATCAAAATGTTGCAGGAAAACGCAAGTTCCTGATACAGGAATCCCTAATCAAACCTAAAACATACAGATGTGAAAAGCTGCTCACGCGAGGCAGGTACGGCGTCCGTGACCGCGTGCCTGACTTGTCAACTGGCACATAGTACCGGTTCGCAGGTCGGTAGTTTTAGACCCCCCTAGATCTTGAGGTGAACCTGGTTTGAAAGGCACACAGAGGAGCATTTAGTGGCTAATGTAACAGGTGTCTTGTGGCGTCTGTTCTTAGGCAAGACTCTTGCATTTAATGTTAATATGGATGAAAGGTTCGCTTTAAGCACAAGGGAATCCTAAACCATTTGTCTACGCTAACCCAAATCCCAAAACCCTTTTTAGCTCACCAATATGTAAATCAGAGTCTTTAAAACCTCAGAAGCATTAAAAAGATGATTATGATTACTACACTGACTATGGAGGGTTCATTGACATTGACCAAAGCAGAAAAACCTACTTTAGGTTGTGTTCATTACGTCGCTCGATAGCTGCGTGATGGTCATCCACCTCCAAGGCCATGAGATTCTTCTGTTTCTCATTCTTCTCCAAATCCAGACGGAGCTTTTCTTTTTCTCTGGCAGTCTGATCGACTTTCTCCCTAGAAAACATGAAACAAAATGAGAACTAAAAATGTTAATTCCGCCAATGCAATGGTTATTGCCTCGAATTCCACAACAGAACGGCAACACAAAATTTCCATACAAAAAGAGAACTTCCTGACATCATCAAATTCTAGGTTTTGTTTCCCAGAATATAAAACATGAAATCCGACTGGTCACTGTGGGCAAGTCCTCTACTTCTTGGGAGAATGTCCTATTATCCAGCTTTTAGAGGTTACAAAGTGAAAAAAGAAGTGAACTTACAGCAAGTGCCTGATCTCCGAGCGGAAGCTGACAAGGGCTGCATGGTAAATCTCATTTTTGGTGATCAGAAGTTCATTTTCCAGGGTCATCGTCAGCTCTGAAAGATTGATTCTACCTTCTAAACTGAAATCCAGAGCCTGGTAATTAAAGAAAAGACAGAGGAAAGTACAGTAATTTGTCCACATGACTCTCTTGAATATCAGAAAGTATATTTTTACACTGGGAGAGCTCCTTTAAAACAGAAAGCCCTTTTAGTGCAAAGAGGAGCCCATCTTGCAAGTGATAGGGCCAACAGGGGTTATTCATTGGTTTATACAGGACTGTTCAATGGGCAAAGGTTGTGGTCAAGTCCAGACATTTTTTGCAACAATTTTTCTCTTTACGGTAGAAAATTTTGGCCAAGGAACGGGGAAAGTTCCTCCGAAATGTATGGCCTACTGATACTGCAGACTGGAAGTTGGTGAAGTTTGGCCAAGACACAGAAGGTTTCAATATATTCCCAGTTCTTGTATGGGTAGCAGCAGACAAGTCAGATGGAGTCTTGCCACACACCCTTCCACCATGTTTTGCTACTTGCCTGTCTGCACTGAAGCCAATTTGGGTGCAACAGCTGTCTGTCTTTATTTTATGGCCTGTGTTAACTTAAATGATTTGCCCTTTCTGCAATTTTAGAAAATCAGTGATGTGGGCTGCTATCAAAAGCTCAACTCTGCACGTTGCCCTCTTTTGTTTTACGGCAACCCACCTTGAGAATGGCTTGGCTGTTGTCAAGTCCTTCTTCAAGCCACAAGTCTATGATGTCCTCCACGCAGCCATAACCCGTACCATCATCCAACTTGGAGAATAGTCGAAGGCCAATTGTCCCAGACATGGCCGAAGGGGTCAGTGTCCGCCTTCCACTTTCATCGTATGGCTAGGATTAAAGAAATAACAGGAACCCAAATTATAAACTCTGAAGTTTCAAAAGCGAATAGCTCCATCATCATTGAATGAAGTGCTTCAACTTCCCAAATCCTGCTAGCAGCTTGTTTAATGAGACAGCCATCGGCCTCGTTTAGATCTGTGATAAACATCCTCAAAACAGAAGCTGAAGGTTGCTTTTAAAACAAACTTTACCAAAACTTGCGGAAACCTCTGGAAATGCGTTAAAGTTTTCTGTACACACAGCTTTTATACAAGCTGAAGCCCATGTGCACAAGACCCGATTGCGGGAAGGCAGCCCGAGTACATTACTTTTGAGATAAACATGCATAATTGTTTCAGAGAGTCTATTTCGTATACAATCTATAGAGGTTTTCAAAGAATTAATTAAAAGTGGATCTAAACGCAAAGTGAAGATTTGATATGTTACAGCAAACATGTGCAAGTGTTACTTGTGCCTGAACAGCACCCCCAAAAACCCACCTTTTGTCTTAACTCCTGCCTAACAGTATGCACTTCCCATGCCTTAAGCCAGCAGTGTCAGATAATGTAAGTCCCATGGAATTTCCTGATGTCACTACTGTGCTGCTCAACATTATCCTTGATGAAGAGGAAGCTGTACCCGAGGACCAGCAGTGCAAGGATATCCCCGTTTCTGCTTCATCCATTCTGTGGACCTGCGCTTTCTGTACCTACCCTGCTGCTTCTTGATCATAAGCCCACCATTCATCCGCTCTGACATGAGGAAGCAAAGCCCTGCTCCTCTACCAAAACGGCCACCTCCACACAAACAGTGCAGAACAAGGCATGGTAAGTCAGTAATGGGGAAATGATCAGCTGAAGGGAGCCTACAGTCAAAACTGGTGATTGGAGAGTCTTTTGCATGCCGCTTACTCCTTTCTGGGCACATCTTCTACAGTTCAGGTCCTCTTTAATACGTCATGTGGATGTGTTTTAATGACAAGATGTTTGTAGCATGTCCTGCATCTATCTGATGTTTGGTTGAACATCTGCAATCTTATAGCCAAGGAATAGTATTTTGTATTAGCTATCGTTGCATAAAAGTGAACATAGAGTTTGTGTAAGCCTTAAAGTGATACTAAAGTCAAAAAGGTTTTAAAGTTTTTACAAAATGCTGATTAAAAATCACTTACAATGGATGTATAATAGCTCTAGTATCCTGCAGAATTGGCTGGTCCCCCGAGCACTGGCCCTGATATCCTGTTCTAGGGAGGTTCCTATCCCTTGGAGGGTCCTATGGAGCCATCCTTGTGTGTGCTAGTAAGCTGTTTGTCACCGCAAACACACAGGTACAGTAAGGCAAAGAGCTACAGCTCCCCGGCTCCCCACTTCTCCCTTCCTCCCTTCTCCAGGCTAGTAAATGGACAGTTGCTGGAGACTGCTCTGTCCCTTGTAATCTTGTACTGGACAGGAAGTTCAGGGGAAGCCGAGCTGAGAGGGTTTGAGCTGTTTGGAAACACAATGACTAAGTATTCAGGCAACAATTTAAATAAACACTTTTAAGGGCAATGATGTACATTTGTTTAATACTACAAAAATAATGATTTTTACCTGTAGAGATAAGTGCCTCTTCAACTGTCGGTAAGGAGTGGAGGAAGACGGGGTTGGTGGTTTGGTATTCTTGCACACTTCATAGAAAAAATCCTGAAGGCTCATGGTTTCATCATGGTCAACATTCTGAAATGCATCTTCCAGGGCCTGTAGTATACAAGAAGCAGACTCAAGACATGTAGCAATGTAAAGCCCCATGCAACTTTTACCGTCGTGCATCATTTTAACAGGCTTCCTCTAGAGGGCAGTACAGAGCAATAAAAAGATTCAATTCATGAAATTCAAAACCAAAATGGAAAAGCCTCAATTTGCCGAGTTATTTAAAGAATTATATGCGGATCGGATATACTCCACAAAACTTTCTAGAGCTCCCAGTACAGTCTAAGCATGCACTTTAAGAATCTAAGCATGCAATTTAAGAGGCATTCATCCCCTGCCTCATGGTAGCTGTTGGAAACTGAACTTACTTGAATCAGTTTCATTGTGAATAAACGGACACCTCCACCCTAGTAAAACGTACAGCCTGGGAGTTAAAAGGACGCTTCTAGGCGAGACTTCATATACAGGTATCTTAGTTTGTAACAGACTCCAAACTACTACAATGTTTTATCACATGGGAGGAATTTGAACCACCAGAAGATCTACAATGGAACCATTAATGCACATTTCAGCCAAAAAAGAAACATTCAAAAAATTATTAAAAATTGGTTCCTAGATTTGACAGCCAAACTTCTCTGCAAAAAAAAAAAAAAAAAGGTCATGTCAATATTACAGACCTGACTGTCATACCACTAGGACTATGATCGTCACTCCTGATCCCATGACTTCAAGAGGAAATGACAATTTTCAAAATGTTTACTCAAGAGGAACTGAAGACAAGCACGGTATTGTTATTGAAATTCAGAAGAAAACGATTTCATGGCAAATGCATACAATTCTTGGAAACATCACTTCCGGGGCATGTCTTAGGGAAAAAGAACCCTGAGAATTATATGCTGAGATGGTCTAAATCTTCAGGATCAGAGAGGTTTTATTAGTGTCCAGCAAGCCTTCATCACTCCAATAGCAGTGTGATCAGTCCACAGAAAACAGGACGAGATTTTCTTTGTTGTAACACTACAGCGACTGTTAAAGTGACATTAAAAAGGACAATTTCCCACCCCCCTCCCCCACAATGGCGGTGTAAGGATTTAGCTTAAATGATGCCTCTTGATCAGATCATATTCTTCTTTCCTGTAGTTTTCAGGATTTCCTCCAGCGCTGGTGCCGGTCTCTAATCCAGCGCTGACTGCTGTGTCTTCTGTGTCCCACGGAGTCTGTGCAGGTGCACACGGCCTGCATGGACTCACCCTGTGCCCCTCCTCTTCTCCCGGCTGGAGACCTCTACTGCCCCATCATCCTTTGCAGCCACCCGAGAATTGTAAGATCTTCGGAAGGGAGCGCGTGGCGGAGACACAGGTAAGTTTTAAACTTTTTTGTAACTTTTGTTTATTTTATGTTTTTGCATGTATCTACTGCTTGGGAACAGTAGATATATGCAACCCCCCCCCCCCCCCCCCCCCCTGCTTTTTTTCT